AGCTGTCATTTTGAACAACACAATAAAAGGTCATTTCCAAAGATGCGTCTAAGACGCATTTTTGGAAGTTTCCGTTAGTAGCTTGTTTTTAATTCTGCGAAGCCGTGAATGGGTGCGCGCAAGCGTTGACACGACGCACACATGCACGCGGTTGCTGTTAGTGGTCGGTTCAAAGCGTGACATCGCGTAGCTGCAATCAACTGAATGAGAACATGCCCCGGATGCTGATTTCAGGCGCAATTCAAAACATGACTCAGTAACTTTTGAATTGAAATTGAGATCCTAGAATATTGTTTTCTCTGATTTAGTATTCGCTGGCCTAAAACTTCATCAGGTTAGTTAAGCAATTTTAGATTTTGAGCACTTTTGTTGCTTCAAACGAAAAACAATGCACAAATGACAAATGATATACTCTACCTTTAAAGCGTACAAGAATTTGAAAACAACTTGAAACATGATATCAATTGGTAAATAATCAATCATTGAGATGGAGAATCTGTGGCTCCATCCCAGTGTACATTACATTTCAAAGTTAAAGGTCATTGAAGTTAATGACCTTTCAATTCACAATACTGATGGGACATGCATACTACAGGGTGTGAAGTTAGACACAAAATCTACTAGGATGATATCAGCTGGCGCAATCAATTTTGAACTGTCAGGCGTGTACACAGAGTGTCGAATTCCCTTACTACATTGTAGAATGCTGACTTTCATGCACTGTATAAAAAAAAAATTGACTGAAAAGTGAAAACAGTGTATCGTGACGAGGTATTTTGGAGAACAACTGATGCGTCCAATACCCTAGTGTTGTGGTTAATCGTGGAGAAAGTAGAAGTAGGCACTTCATGAACATGTACTTAGGCCAAAAAAAAAACAGTTCTGCTTCCAGTTTCCCTACCTACCCTATTCTGACAGCCCCTACCCTAATTTTTTTATTGGAAAACTGAGGAAAAAAAACACCTAAAAGTATCAATTTCTACCTTTTACCATTGACTACACGAAGACGCCTCCATATGATCATACACAAAATAAATTTGCAAAAAATTCCCTACCTACCTACCCTATTTTCGAATGCCATGTAATCAGAAGCAGAAATTAATTTTTTGGCCTAATCTTGGAGAAAGTACCGGTTTGCTCTTCGTGAACATGTACTTACCGGTAGTCTGGTTCCCCGACCTGACAATTTCCCCTGACGTCTACACGTCTAAATTGTAGGTCAGGCAGCCTCCGTGGCTAAAAATAAACATGACGACATTGACGGCCCTTTTTCAAAGCTCGACTTCACATAAAGCTTTTAATGTTCCGATAATGCCATTTTAAAAAATAAATCACTTGCTTCATATATCATACAGTTGTGATATACGTACAGTTTAATACTTCTGTAAAATAAATTGACTAATTTTAACCTGGAATCTTCAAAGTTGGACACCCAAACAGCACTGTTAGCAGGCGGAGCCGAATTGAGACCACGCCGCGTTTTGGAAAATGCCGGTAACGGTCGTCAAATTCAAACTAGTGCATGACGCAGCAAAAAGTTCGCCCCTCGTATACGATTCGAGTGCAAAATCATCGTTGAATTTCAAGTTTTCTAAATAAAAGCAATGGATATTAATTTTTAATAATGGATATTAAAGTTTTTAATAAGCAATTAGCAGTTAATAAAACCTATATTATACTCGGAAATACTCGGACACTATCCGATTGTCGACGAAATGAATTCGGCAAACTTCGGACAGTTTCGGAAAAAAGGAGGAATTCCTCCCGTTTTAGTCACGTGATGTAAATTGTAATACATTGTATTACCGGAGGCTACCGGACCTAAGATTCATCAGGAATAGTCGGAATATTTTGGTCTGGGAACCAGACTAACTTACCGGTAGTTACTGCGCATGGTAATTGTTTGTTTGGTGTAAATTATTACATGCAAACATACGGTACCTGGTACATGTATAACCATAGAGCTAGGTATAACTGTAGGTTTGCATAATTTTGTTCAAGTCCCAGAGAGACACACTATACAATGTAGGGTGTCTTCTGTGTCCATGTACATGTACTTGCTTGGTGTCTCACTGAGTGACCGTCCGTTGTGAACCGGGCAGTGCTATTGTATAGGATTACCCCTGTAACGCCAATGAATGGGTTCAATCCAGTCAAGTGTGTAGACCAGATACAACAAAAGACTTCCAGTGAATATTGGTATTCTGAATCAATTGAATGGATTTTTGTGAGTTCTTGGGCCAGTTTTACTCGGCTTTCCTAAGCAAACCCCCCCTCCCCCCCGGTACCACCACCTCTACAGTATCGCACTGAATGCACATTTTCAGTAATTTACATGTTCCCAACAGGGTATATGTACACGTTCAAGTACAAATGTACTGTAACTATACATGAACATACAATGTACCAGAACATGTACTTATTGCAAATGTACATTCATTACAGATGGTAATTTTTAAGTTGCTTTCGGAAGCGACACACTCAGACAGTGGGAATGGAATGAGACATTTCCCCCAGCTGTGCACATATTCCCTGTAGTAGAGCTACTTATAGCGTAGCAGGCCCACGCTCGGCCATCCGTGGGTGAATAATGCAATAATCTCCCATCAGCTGCCAGGGCGTATCAGCCTGACAGGGGACTGGCATTGGGGCTTGGTTGACTGGGTCCAGGCAGGGCAGGGGGCATGGATGCCATGTTTCAGGACAGGGGACCAATATATGCTTAGCAGATGCAGGATACCAGCCAAAATATAATTTGCTAATGTACAGGAAGTGGCTAAGCGTAGGAAGTATTTGCTTAGCGAAAACGGATTACCAGCCAAAAAATGTCAATGTACTGTAAGCCTCGCTACTGCTAATCCTTCCCTTGAAACACGGAAAAATGCCGAACATGTTCAGCCATTCATCCTCTTTCAGTCAAATCATACATGATTATTGGGCCCACATGTAGTCATTTTTATTTTAATGCAATCCTTTAAAATGCACCTTTGTATCCCATTTAACCTCATGTTCAATTTTCATTTTGCCATTTTCTAAAGAATTTTGGTGCTTTTTTTGGGTTTTTTTAGAATAAAAATTTCTATATTCATAAACAAAATTGTGATGTCATTTTAGGCAGAAACCTCAATGTTATAGCTATTTTGGCACCAAAAGTTACAAAATTTGGGATATTTTGGTGCCGTAAATTTTCTATTCTTTGGTGATTTGTTGTTTCAGCGCATGACAGTAAGCCAATAATGAGCAAACTTTTTTCACAGAGGTTTTAAATGAGCAAATTTGTGGGTTCACAATTTGAATAGGAAAGCCTAAATTGAACAGCAACAGCGCCCTCAGTTGTCAGGAAAAGCATGAACAATTTTTAAAAGTTTAAAGAAAAGCAATTTTCAAACAAAAATTCCAAAAAGGGATGTCAAATTATGCATTAAGCTTTCATACATTGAAGAGGATAGAAAGTTTCACAAAATATGCCCCAAGTAAAATTCATCTAATGTCCCTTTAAAGTAAATTAACACTGAAGAGGGTGAAAATCCACAATTTACTATGTGTTTCACAGTGACGCATAGCGCGCAATATATCCGTTGCATGTGCTTGCATAGTGGATAGCGAATTGCGTATGACACGACTTCACAAAGTTATGGCCTATCCAGCATGCTAACTGTATCCGTTTGCTTGCAAAACCTTGCAATGTACACACTGTACACAATTGCTATGTTTGCACACACGCACTGTGTAGACATACAGAAATATTTGATGAAGTCAAGGCAAATACAATAGTCAGGAGAGATGAATTTAATCTCTGCCCATTCGTTTTAAGCCGGACATAATGTATCTTTGGTATTTGATTCACGGGCCATGCAGCATTATCTGGCATATCATGCCGTAGCCGCGGTGTATTTTTATCATTGGAATTTCACACTGCTCAAGCATGCGCGATAATCGCAGGAAAGCGGAAACGATGCAAATTCCACGGAGAGACAAACTCCGAGAATAAAATTCAGCCAGCTTAAATATAATAAATTACAGCTGCAGTCCTGTGTACACTCACGATCGCACACAAGTGTTGAGCGGGGCAAAGTACATTTTTGTGCTTTTGATGTTCGTGTTACGTGTATGACTAATTAATGTAGAATTTGTGTGTTTGCGTACACCCAAGCCGTCTTGCCGTTAATACATTGTATATGTATAAGTAAGTAGGGGTGGGGGCTAGAAATATTTTGAAAGATTTTTGTTTGAGGACCTCATTTTTGAAGAGTTTGTTTATTTGTTTTCATTTGTTGGCTTAAAATTCTTTTGTTTTCAGCGGTGGAGAAGGTACATGAAATAATATTTGTTAGGGAAAATGGTCAGATTTCTTTTTTCTTAGAAATGTTGATTTCTTTCCCAAAAGCAGTAGTTTTTAGGATAACATCTCTTCTGTTCAAAGTTCTTATAAGTTTTCACAGTTTTGCTTTTCTTTTGATTTCGGAAGAGAAGAAGAGAAATGTTTGCAAAATTTGTCAGTGTTTTTTATAAATTGGTCAGATTCATTTCCTAAATGTTGAGTGTTGTTCCAAAAGCCGCAAGTTTTAGGATAACATCTCCCTTGTTCAAAGGTCTTGTCAACAAAATTGTCTTACAATTTTGTCAGCCCTTCTAAACTTTTGTGGTTTATCTACATGTATGAACATACACGTTTATGTATCTCATGTTTTCACTGTTTTGAAAGAAAACAAATGGGGGGGGGGGGGCACCAAAAAAAGAAAGAAGAGAGTTAAGTCACTATTTTAAAGTTGAATTTGATCGACACGTACTTGTATACATGTACAGGTACTTGTACTTGTATACATGTATACATTTATTTGAACTTGGAAATTTCATGGGAAAGTTTTAATAAACATTATAAATGTGCCATTTCCCAACAGTAAATATTTGTATAATAGTGTTTCAGTTTTTCTTTATCACGTTTGTATCATTTAAATTACACACGTACATTTTTCTCTTATGTTTGTGTATCCCTACAGTTTGGAAAGACTGAGACGATTTCTACCTTCCATTTTCCGGAAACGTCGCCCTCACTCCAGAATCACCATGCCAACCCCCAAGGCGTTGCCCCTGCACAAGGTGATCATGGTGGGGAGCGGTGGGGTGGGCAAGTCCGCCCTGACGCTGCAATTCATGTACGATGAGGTAAGAACAGGTATCAATTAAAATTTTCCACGGAATAAAAATCCCACTTTTTTTGTCTGGATCTTCCTCAATCCTTTAAAATCCACCAGTGAAACATTCTTTGCACTTTGAACGGGTATCAAGTGGTATGAATATAAAATATTTTAAAAGGATCTTGAAAGATGAGTCCAACATTTTTTAAATTACAAATGTATGTCTGATTTCGTCCACAACCCAAGATCATTTTCAGAATCAAATCTAAATTTGTCCAGCCAAAAAGGAAGTAAAGTCGAGATACATGTACATGAAGTAGCGAATAGCTGTGTCTATGTTTTTATGTAAATGAACATGTGCATGTATCAACTGACACTTGTTCTAAAGTTACAGTTGCGTTGAACAGTAACAGATCAGCTTGCTCCGTCATGTGCATGCTTTGAAAAGGATGTATTAGAATCCATTTCTTTCCGGAGTTACTCGATCTTTGAACCCTTACTTGGAGTCCACTTGTTGTCAGAATTTTCTGGCATGGCCCAATGTTGACTCTTCGGAAACTAGAACAATTACAGAGAGTCGGTACTTGACTCACGCACGATGGTGCGTGGGTTCGAATCCTGCCATCAGGAACATGGTGTTTGTGCCCCTGGGCAAGACACTTAACTACAATTGCCTCTCTCCACCCAGGAGTATAAATGGGTACCCGTGAGGGTCGAGGACCGATTGAGCGCTAATATCGGCTGCCGCGTGGCCTGATGAATGGGGTAATAATTGTAAAGCGCTTTGAGATTGTTGATACGATGGAAAGCGCTATATAAGCACTATGATTATTATTATTATTAAATAAGTAGGTTTTACGATTTCGATTCTGATGAGTTTGGAATCGATTCTTTTCGAACTTAGCTAAGAGTATCCCATCCTACCGTATCATTTTTTACAAATGTAATGTTGGTTTACTGCTCGTCAGTGATGTAATTTCATAAACACTGTATACTCAGCATGGTCCAAGGGCTTGGGAGAAAGAGAAATCACGAGCTTACTGGTAGGACTCGAACCCACAACCTCCTGCTTACTAGTGCAGATGTCTTACCATTCGACCACTGAGCTTGCCGGGTCGGCTGACTGGCTTGAATCTTACAATTAATGGAGACCTTTACAAATTTGTAAAACGCAATGGTCAAATGTTTCGCTTCCTACCTGTACGCACTCTAGTTTGTTGAGGATTACGAACCCACCAAAGCCGACAGCTACCGCAAGAAGATCACGCTAGATGGCGAGGAAGTCCAGATCGACATCCTCGACACGGCGGGCCAGGAGGACTACGCGGCCATCCGCGACAACTACTTCAGGTCCGGGGAGGGTTTCCTGTGCGTCTTCAGCATCACCGAGCAAGAGTCGTTTGCAACCACCACAGAATTCAGGTGGGGAGTTGACAGTCGTTCTACAGGTTTTTTTGCTTGTACAGTGTTGTACTTTACTCAGCCTCAGTCACTGACTAATACTCACCGAGACTCACTGACTGTCATTTGAAAGAATTAGACTTTCAAAAGTCTCACCTTGGCACAAAAATTGGACTTTGCTGGCCTCTTTGTACCTCACTGTCTCACTGACTGTCACTTGAGAATTAGACTTACATAAGTCCTAACTTGGCCCCAAACTTTTACTTTGCTAGTTCCATGCAGAGTGCAAGCATACAGTCTCTTAAATTGGTACCTACAGCTCTAACTGACTGACTGTCACTTGTGAAGTAGACTTGCATAAGTCTCTTCTTGTCCTTGAGTGGTGATATAATTATTCAGCTATGGGCTCCGTGCGCCAATGAAAGAGGGCGCCCTTTAACCTAGCAACAACGTCCCATGGACGGGACATGGTTGACGCGCACTGTTCCTTGTGTGTGCCGTACGTACACCAGGGGATTTGTACTATGTACACGCAGTGGTACGGCCGCGCGTCGCGGCAAAACTGCAGTCAGGCAAGATGGCGTCGGTCGGTCACCCCAACTGTACTTTCTTTGCCGGTGAGGGGGTACTTGTGAACCGAGGGGATACTGTCCTCTCACTGACAGACTCAATGAACGTTAGACTTACATAAGTCTCACTATGGACCGAACATTTGACTTGCATGACTATCTAGAACAAGTAGACCACATTGGTCTCAGGCTAGCATTACAAGGCTTACCCAGCCTTGTTCTTTTTATGGCAGTTGCCCATTACAAGGCTGAAAACCACTTAACCCTAAAAGGGCCGGGGGGGGGGGCCCCCTCAACTTTTTGAAAATTTTTGGTTTTTTGCGACTTGAGCTGCTATGACGTTTTAGCCTCGAGCCTTGCGCATCTTTTGATACCAAAAACATAAAAATCGGACCACGGGTTGCCGCGCAGCAAAACATATCCGGCGCTATGCACCGTGAAAACTTAATTTTCCCATGTATACGTCGTGTACACAGAGCAGAATTACCATTCATACATATGAATAATTAATTACCCATAATTCCAAAACCCTTTGACCTATAGTAACGAAATTTCTTGGGTATGTTCATGATGAGTTGCTCTATGCATGTACCGAGTTTCAAAATTTTTCGTCACTCGATGGCCGAGATGCGACTCGTTCTTGAATTAAATGACTTTTGTGACTTGTACTCATACTCGACAAAAGTGACTCAAGGTAAGATAATTTTGGGGAAAAATGTATTAATTTTTCATCATAATTATTTTGGCAACTAGGGAACAAATTTTGAGAGTGAAGTGCGACAAGACGGAAGACATGATCCCGTTCTTACTCGTCGGTAACAAAGCTGATCTGGACGAGAAGAGGCAAGTGAGCGTCGAGGAGGCAACGAGCCGGGCAACCGGCTGGAAGGTTCCCTACGTCGAAACCTCGGCCAAAACAAGAGAAAATGTCGACAAGGTAAACCATCACATTTCATTCTTTTGACAGAACACCTCTACACACATGTACAGTGACATATTTATGTCATCATGCGCTATGTGACATCAACAGAAATTGATATTTCTTTGAGCCCTCTATCTTGAAAATTTTAATTGAAACTTGGTATTTGTATTGAAACTGATTGAAACTTGGCATTTGTATAAACACATCTGATTCAAACTTGGTATGTGTATGAACAAATCTGATTCAAACTTTGTATGTGTATAAACAAATCTGATTCAAACTTGGTATGTGTATGAACAAATTTGATTGAAACTTGGTATGTGTATGAACAAATCTGATTCAAACTTGGTATGTGTATGAACAAATCTGATTCAAACTTGGTATATGTATGAACAAATCTGATTCAAACTTGGTATGTGTATAAACAAATCTGATTGAAACTTGGTATGTGTATAAACAAATCTGATTCAAACTTAGTATGTATATAGAGTACCGAAGTGTGACGTCATTTAGAACCAGAAAGTGTAGTGCAAACGAATGGAGTACGCGCGCGTGTGGGTTCAACGTCTGAATCACGCGCTAATGTCTTTTACACACACACTGTGCGCGTGATGTATTCACTTCGATACTCTATAGACTATACTCTATAAATGAAGCCAAGATTTAAGAAGCCTGGTTGCCCGACAGGCTTGTGAAAAATCAACAAAATTGGCACAATGCCCCTTAGGATATTTCACCATTGTATGCTTTTTTTATCGTTTCCTGTAGTCTTTTTACGATCTCATGCGAAAGATCCGTGAGCAGAAAGCCCGGGAAAATCAGAAGCAGAACGGCAAGGGCAAGAAACCTAAGGACCCAGGCGGACGGCCGAAGCGAAAATGCGTCATCCTGTGAAAAAGATGTTTTACTCGGTGTGCGTGTGTGTGTCTGTTTGTCATTGTTTTCTACGACGCAAGGTCAAATCTGCTGATATTTTGGTAAAGTATGGACGGAATCTAATTGGTGAAATTATGATCCAGGATCAAATATTTCACCATATCTAGCAAAACAAAAATGGATGAGCTCAGTTGATTTATATTTTAACTGAGATGACTGCTTATGAGTGCTCAAAATTGATCGTGTTAAAATTGATTTTTTCCGAAAAAGTTTTGTCTATTACCGCCCTCTGTAGTTCACCCGGTAATTAATGTGGCCGTATTATGTTAGAGTAACAAGCCTAATGCTCCTTAAAAACCATCTTCATTGTGGGAACAATGATCACAATTCAAATACCAAGTCAGTTCACAAGTAACGAAAGATAAACAGTGACAAATGCATGTCTTGTGCTTGACATGTGATTGACATGTGATCGACACGTGATTGACATATGATTGACATGTGATTGACACGTGATCGACATGTGCTTGACATGTGCTTGACATGTACTTTACACGTGATTGACACGTGATCGACATGTGATTGACGTGTGATGGCTTGCAATGACTCTGCCACATTGTCTTTCACCACATATTCTATGCAGGTTTGACGTTGCTTGACAAAATATGTAAATATTTATGAACACAAGTCTGAAGTTACATCTTGTCTCATCCCCCCCCCCCCAACAACACAATTGTTCACTTTGACTTGACGAAACCTCAAAATACGGATGCTACTTTGACATTTTTACCTGATTTGTTCCGTTCTTGTCAAAATAATCCCGGCGTGAACTGGCTAAGAAAGGGCATATGTAAAAAAAAGCGTGACGTCATTAGGTCTCTAGTCCATAGACGGGAGCAATCATTTAGACACTACTACACTGTACATTGTGACCTAACTACCGCAAGGAACAAGACTTGAAAATACGAAAGCAAAAAATATGTTCATTTACTTGGACACCAGCCATTTTTTGCCGTGCACAAATTTATATCGTCACTGAAAAAAAAAAAAATGTAAAAAAAATTAAATGCTAGAAAATAAAAATGTAACTTAAAACGCTTGTTTTAGTTGTAAACCTTAAGAGAAAGGTTGCTGTTTATATAAAAGAAGAAACAAAAGTCATTAATTAATTTGTAATTATTTTTAATGTAAATGCCTGCACATGTATATTTGTTTGGTTTATTTATGGATCAATGTCCTTTTTTTGGGGTGATTTTTTCGATTGGAGAATTGTGAGCTCAATTATCCAAAAATTTCTTTGTCGTGTTTTACTGATTAAATGGCTAACCAAGATTTAAAAAAAATCTGCTCATATTTGCATGGTAATTGCATGAATGTACGATAACAAATTTTCAAAATGGCCGCCGTTTTGCACAGAAGGACTGATACAGAATTACATCTACCTAACTCATTAGATGCTAAATTGTGTTGAATAGTAAAAAAGAAGTCAGGTACCTGCCAGCCTGCCTTATCTGTTGGTGGCTTATGAAGTCAGGGAACCCAGACAATGATGGCCACCATTTTTTTCAGCCTGCACCCTTAAGATGATGTGATCTACATGTATTGCTTGCAAAATAAACATTTATGACCGACTTGCTAAGCTGTGGCATGTTAATATTGTACTGAATTACTCTATAAATGAATGAAAACATTGAAGATGTTTTTAAAACTTTTTTTTTTTTTAGATAAAAAAATCACTGTTTCAGCTGCAATATCAAGCCAGTTATTTTTCTTTGATTAGAGCAATTAAAATTTGAGTTTGTGTATCCCAAACTAATTTAAGAATTAGGAAATTGGCCTTTTCGTAATCTGCATGCATTGGTCAACTAATTTTGTTAATGGTTACTCGTACGTAGCTCATGTTTGCGTTTAGTGCAATAGATCAATGTGCTGATTGTGAATTTTGTAGAAGATTGAGCTGCTTGGCTATAAAAAAAAGTCAACTTCTAAAAATTATCAGATCAATTCTAGGACTCAAGTCTGTAAAATAAGTAACATCTAAAAACTTTACCATTGCAATGCACAAACCACTGTTTTGCTTATTAGGCTTCATATGCAAACATACATTCTGTGCCAAGTAGTCCTTTCGGTCAAAATCAATCAAGTGACTGTTTTCAACAGTTTAGAATTCCCAGCCTACCTAAAGCCGGATTGACTGGCTGTGACTGTTTATGTAGCTTGATACAGCTTTGCTTTGACTGTGGGTGATTGATAAGCCAGCTGTGCCCACAGTTTGCCTGCTTTGTCTGTTCATGGTCTGTTGACTGAATTTGATAAGTCACAGTGCTCGATTGACATATGATCTGACTGCTGGTGACTAAAAGTATAGCAGGGGAAGTGGATGAACATTTTGACTGTCTCTGACTGTTTAAATAGCAGGAGGGTTAAAACAAGGAATAACTTTCAAATGGTCATAGTTGGCTTCTCACAAATGATAAATTTTGAAAAGGAAACTCTTTCCTTTTTTTTTTTTACTCGCTTCAGGTTTGTTGAAACGGTGCTTGAATTTCTTTGGTGTTGCTTTGGTCTATTGGTTTTGTGTGGTCTTATTTGCTTATTTAGAAAAATGTGTGCATTTACATTTGTAGAAATATGTAATTAACTATTATAATTTAGATCTTTAGCTTTGCTCTGAACCAGTCGACACTGTTCTATTAATTTCTATTAATACTTTTTATTGTATTACAATTGCGTCTCTTCATTTGCGTCTAACAAATGAAAAGTTTCTTTTTAGGTTATTGTCTATAAATATCTTTATGTATATCTATATATTTGATCATATTTGCATGATTCTGCACATACACGTACTTGACAATGTGCTATAATTTATATCATTTTCATGTTAAACATGTACTCTATTTTCTGAAATTTTACTGTGGCTTGCGTGTGTACAGTGAATGGCGCCCTCTGGTGTTTAATACATTTCATTGTCTTGAGTAAAAGTGGGTTCATACTTCAAATGTGAGTGCGAAACAAACTTGATGTCATTAAATATTTGCAGAAAATTTGTCCAGAGTTGACATGCGTTCAACTTTTTGCGAATACGCAGTGCGAAAACTAGACATAACCGTCATGACGTCAAAAATAGCATTAAAAAATGGGATCTATTTTCAGCATGTTCCAATGCTGCTGTAATTGTTGAAGACTTAAAACAATAGATCTAGCCATGCACGCTTTTAACATCTACAACTTTAGCAAATGAATTTTGTCATGCAGAGCAGAACAACAGAGGGCGCCCTTCATACATAGCAGTGTTAAAGGGCCACAAAACATGCTTTAATAGTATATCTTGAATTTGTTTTGCTTGCTCTTGGTGTAAATACTTAGCTATTGTACTGCTCAAATTTTCAAACACAAAATCACAAATTTTACCCACAAAGGTGGTTCGCTTGAAATAAATCATGATTTGTCAGAATAATGACTTGAATTACAAAAACCGTGCGTTTTATACTAATGACAAAACTCGTTTATCCCTTACCTAATTACATGGGGGACAATGCAGTCCTGATGCAGTTATTGACTTACTTGTAAGTTTGTTTTCTGAGTGGCGTGAACGTTGAAACTGCGTAGGTCTCTGCGTCATGTCGACATAAATATTGACAAATAACAACTGAAAACGTAAAAACATGACGTGTAAATAAACCATTGGCTATAATCTGAAAGCCTTTCCTTTTTTTCACTTGACAAAATTTCATTTTCTGGGTGTTGAGTGTTAATAGACTTGTAAGCGTGTCCTTTGTTTTCCTTATAAATTGCTCAGTAACTACAAGATTGTTGTATTTTCAGTAGGTGGACTAGAGCAAGTCTAACAAATATTGACATTGGGTTGGTACTGAAGAAAAGGTAAGGAACTAATGAACGCTTGTGAGCAAGTCTAGGAATTTTTTTTAAAATTTGAAATGTACGAACTTAAATTGTTTTACAACTGACCTATGGACGAAGAGTGTTACTATGTACTGTGTGGCACTAAATTTCATACTTTGTCAACGTCGTTGTATGATTTTGAAAGATTTTGATTAAACTTGTATGTACATTATGAAACATTTTGTATGATTTGCACCTATAAGAACACATTTTTTGGTAAAAATTATATCTGATGTATATTGCATATCAACCACGGAAGGTTACTAGTAGTTAAACCAGTTTAAGGTGTAGTTAGTTTAGCTGTGTGGTACATCTAAACCTAGTGTCATGTTAACTAGGATTGAACATATCCTCACACAAGGATAAACATGTAATTTTGTTGTAAGTGTATAATACGAAGATATTGCCTTTCCTTAGTGGTAGCAGGTCAGAATAAAGTAGCATTGTATAGTTGAAATATTAACTGCAAAGCCTTTGTGTGAGTTATTCTAGCATAGTTTGTGAAATTAAAAACAAAACCTAGAAGTTTGAGAGCGACGTACATTCCGATTTCAGCAGGGTCTTTCGCAAAGGCAAAATGATAGTGCTGTGCATTTTCGAATAATTTAATATTTGGTTACTCGAGCTTGGATTTGATCGCATATTCGAATATTCAAAAAATGTGCCAATCAAATGTTACATTCATCAGCCTGAATGGCACCTGTCCGCAATTCAGCGTACCGGTCACATTGACAATTTCACGTGCGGGTCAATCATGTCGGCAATTGCACGCGCCGGTCAGAAACTGTATGAGCACGCGCCGGCAGAAATTTGCACGCGCCGTAAAAAAAATGGCCTGCCGATTAGAATCTTCATGTGCCTGTTGAAAATTGACAATGAAATTAAAAGTATTAAGAACATCATCAATGTATTTGTAAATCTGCACCAAATTATATCAATTTTTTTTAACATGTTTTTTTTTCTAGTCAAGTTACCCATCTTTTCGTACTACATACTACAAAAGATCTGCCTTGAAGTTGCAAAACACTCTGGTAGCATCTTGTGTGCAAATGGCTGAAATATCGGAGTTTTCAGAAGTAATATGCAAGGTGTTAAATACGCGTGAGGTATGCTCAGAATTTCCTTGGAAGCGCTGCCAAAGTGCCCAAGACTCTTGTTTCGTGTTGTTTATAGCGCCCTCTATCCCCAACTGCAGCTTGACCGCGCTCGCTGGGGATGCCGCTCGCGACCGGCTGCAGTACGGGAACAAAAATTCACAATTCAGGCTAGGACCAAGTCTAGCTATAATTTTTAGAAAAGTTCAATTTCGAGTGAGAGACATTGGCACTTTCACACACAAGTATTTCCTCGTTAAGGCACCATAATACTCTAAGATACATTTGATAAAAATATTTATTTACTCTAAAAAAATTAAAGTTACAAGCTATGTCAGCTAGAGAATAAAAATAACTAATATACATTCTTTCAAAATCGCAAGAATTTTTTTCTTTCTAATCTATTAGAAAATTATACATGTAGATTTATGGACATCATTTTTTTTGTAATTTTGTCGATGGATTTCCAGATTATTTTGCTATGGATTTGAAATTTTTTGACTTTAAGTACTATTTCATGGCGTGGATGGGCTAATGCTTATGCGCATGGAAATTTCTATTGTTATGCCACTGATTTTAATAAAAAGTTTCCCTTCGAGGTAAGCTCATATGGTTTCCGTGAAATAGATGGAGCTCTGTTAGCAGAAAATCGGTGCTTATAGCAGCGCCATGAAATTGAACCCCTGATGACATCTAACTCTTTGATTTTTCTTTTGTTTCATACGTCAACATTTCAATACAGAATGTTTAACGCATTGATCATGGCAGTAATTACCCACAATCCTTTGCATTTCCTTCAAAACAATTCCTCAGTTAAACGGTCCTTCGATAGGGCAGTGGCTATAATCGAATCTTCCCCCAATTTTTATTTTTTTAAAAATAATTGGTCACTATAGAGGGCACTATTGACCCATCTAGCCTACCAAGTGAGGGCGCTAGACAATCTCCTGGGCAACCTTGACCGAGTTGGGAATGTCATTGGAGGATTTGGACTCCGTGCAGTGGAACAGCTCGGGGGCAGTCATCTGACCCTTCGTGATTTGGTCGCAGGCCGTGACGAGGTCGTAGTTGATTCTGTCCGTGACGACGGAGTCGTGTTTGTACTCTGAGTGACTGGTTACGAAATTACGCATCCAGGCCGCCATTGTCTGAAGTTTTCCTAGGAAATAAACAAAATCATAAACAAATATAGAAAAATCAACTCGATTTGAAACAAATTCTGTAAAAAGGTGGCCAAAAAGAACATCAGTAATTTCCCCACTCAAAAAAAAAAAAAAAAAAAAAAAAAAAAAGTTGGATTTTAGAAAACAACTGGACAATATTGAATCAATGCTAACTGAACTTTAGAAAACATTTGTACCAGAAACAAAATTCTGTATCCTGGTGGCCAATATGTCACAAAAAAGACCGTTCACAGAGGTATGACTAAACAAGTGTTTGAATATTTTTTTCCAATCAGATTCAGGGCAAGCCTTACGGGAAAGCAACCCTAAGCTCCGGCATGGTCTGGTGTCTTTGTTCTCACCCAATTGTGAGCAATGTATTGGTGCTGAGCGTCTCTTACGTAACTATGCAAGAGCTTGCCCTGAATCATGTGATACAGCAACAGTGTCTTTGGTCTGGAGAATTCAAAGTTAAAACGTGCCAAGCAATCTGAGCAAGTCAGTGTACAAGATGTTATTCAAATGTAACTCGCAAAGGTATAGGTTATTCGCAAATGGCTTATTCTCTGAAATGTCCCAGGGTCTTTCACCTCACTTTCCCTCACTCCCCCCCTTTTAGCATTTAGGCCACGCCCACTCACCCGAGGCCCTATCCGAGATGAGTTTGAGGTAACGCATGATGGTACACCTCGTATCTAGGTCTGTTTCCACGGTCGCCACGTACAGGTTGATGAGGGGGATCAGGCCTGGGAAATCCCCCTGGCCGTCCCCCAGCGGACCTCCGTTGATGATGGTGTTGATGCTCATGAGGCATTGCTCGTTCTCAATTGGGCAGTCGCAGGCACCTGGCAACCAAAGGTCAAGCCATACGAGTACATTGATCATCCTCACCAATTTTTGTGTGACATTTTTGGTGGGCGTTTCTCTCACTAGCAATGTTATACAGGGTGAGTAAGAAAAAACGAAACCCAAATGTGTTTTACTGAAGTTCTGCATGTAGCACTTTCAAAATCTAGGATATGAAGCCCAATTCATAAGCATTCTTGTAGTACAAGAATCATTCAAATTACTCATGGACTTTTCAAGGTGCGGAATTTTAAACACAACCATCGTTTAAAAGTTCTGTCCACTGATCACAAAAAAAGATACGTGTTATATTGCAGCAAACTAAAACAATTCTCAACAACAACTAAGCAACAACAAATTTTGAATACGCAAGTTCATGCCAAATAAATTGCAAATGTAACTTCAAACACGGTCACACATGCTCATCAAGTTTTACTCTACAAAAACAACAAGTTTAAAACCACTAACTGTTTTACGTTTGACTTACAAGATTGTAGGTCTTTACGGAAGTAGAACTTGGAGTTGAGGATAGCATTGCGTTTCTGTGCCTGCTGCATGTTCAGGTCTACCTAAAGCAAGAAGAAATCATTAAACTACTTGTAAGGACTTGTAAGGACTTTGTGGGAACTAGTGAGGACTTGCAAGGCCTTGCGAGGACTTTCTCAGGATTTGTGGGGACTTGATGTGAGGACTTGTGAGGACTTCTCAGGATTAGTGGGGACTTGTGGGGACTTGGGAACTTTTCAGGATTTGTGGGGACTTGTGGAGACTTGTGAGGACTTGTGAGGACTTGTGAGGACTTGTGAGGACTTGTGAGGACTTGTGAGGACTTGTGAGATCTTGCAAGGACTTGTGGGACCTTTTGAGGACTTGCAAGGACTTGCGAGGACTTTTTAGGACTTGCGAGGACTTGTCAAGACTTGGGAGGAATTGTGAGGACTTCTCAGGATTTGTGAGGACTTGTGGAGACTTGTGAGGACTTGTGAGGACTTGTGAGATCTTGCAAGGACTTGTGGGACCTTTTGAGGACTTGCAAGGACTTGCGAGGACTTTTTAGGACTTGCGAGGACTTGTCAAGACTTGGGAGGATTGTGAGGACTTCTCAGGATTTGTGAGGACTTGTGGAGACTTGTGAGGACTTGTGAGGACTAATGAGGAATTGTGAGATCTTGCAATGGCTTGTTAGGACTTGTGAGGACTAATGAGCAATTGTGAGATCTTGCAATGACTTGAGAGGACTTGTGGGACCGTGTGAGGACTTGTGGGACCGTGTGAGGACTTGGGAGGAATTGTGAGGACTTGTGAGGACTCGACTACAACAGTGAAATTTAGCGGTAGCACCCCGAAGCAATCACCTTTGATAGCTGCATCAGCAAGTTCAGCTTGAAGGTCAGTATTGTGCGGGTCAGCAGAACGACAAAGACCACATAGGCTGCGTTCTCAAAGTCTGTCAGCTGGACCTCAATCGGTCGGCATTCCACCCTCCAGCCGATGTTGGAGTTGACCGGCGGTGGCTTGAACCGCAACGTCTGCCAGTTGGTGGACTGAATGTTCTGGAATTGAAACAACCAATATGAATCAGAGTTGTAAACTCCACAGATCACAAAAAAGTTCAGTGTTCTTTCAGCAAAACGAAAGGAAATCACATAGGGATGTGTGTGAGTTGTTTTTTCGTTTTGCTGAAAGAATGCATATCTTTTTTTGTGATCCGTGGAACCTTAAAACGGTGGTTGTGTTTAAAATTCCGTACCTTGAAAAGTACATGAGTGATTTGAATGATTCCTATATTAAAAGAAAGCTTGTGAATTGGGCTTTCATATCCTAGATTTTGAAAGTGCTACTTGCAGAACTTCAATCAAACAATAGTCCGGACATTTGGGTTTCGGTGGGTTTTTTTTACTCACCCTGTAGAATTCATCAGCAGAATTCTATGTCATTCTGCTGTGAAAAAGAGGACGCCTTGAGGTTTTGTTTTTTTAAGACACCAAGTAATTGAGCGACGTACCTCAAAGTGATCGGAGTCCTTATTGTCATCCAGGCCAATCATCTCAGCAAAGACGGAAATGGTATCTCGGATGAAGAGATGGGCTATGTGCCGAGCCAGCTGACGATCAATACCTAATGATAATGACAACAAGATTCGGCATCAACTGGAGCGGCAACTTTGCAAACCAAACTGACCAGCTGTCATCAAGTGGTCACTCTCATGTCTAGGTGGTCAAGAACGTGCACTGTGACCTTATTCCATGTTTTAAAGCACACTTCGCAACTTCCTTTTGTGTTAACTCTGTATCCGGTAGAATTGAGTATGGGCTCCATGCTCAGACATGTAGTTCCCCCTCAGTGGTACGGTAAGGCCAAAAAAAAATTGATCTCTGGTCAGCGCGCGCGTTGATTTTAATCATGCGCGTCAACCTTTTTTTTCCTTCAAATTTACCACGGAAGCTACAACAGCGCCCTCTATGGCCGCATCTCCTCAAATTTTTGTACCAAGGAGCTCCAAGGAATGGGGAAATTGCGTCAAAGCATTATGGAGGGCACCAAGGCAAACAATGGAGGACACCAATGCGACATGTATATGAGGACACAAAAAAGCCAAATAGTACCCACCTTGTCTGTACAATTCAAGGTTGAAAAAAAAAAGGAAGCCAAAAAACCGCGTCGCCGCATCAATTCCGGAACTTCGGTCTGACCAGAGACCGACTATTTTTGTTTGGCCTAAGAAAGGGAAAGTTGGCGGTGACCACAGGAAGAGACATTGAGAATGCATTGGTGCACAAGCGAAGACGGCGAGACCCTAGGGCTATGTGCACATTCAAAATAAAATAAATCGTACGCGCTTCGCTGCGCTTCGCTGCGCTTCATTTTCTCCCCAAAGGTGGTCACGTGAGCGGAGGAATTTAGCCACAGCGCTGAATGAAGAGGTCGTGACGACCTCGCAAGCTATGTCGTACTTAATAAAATCAGACTCTGAAAGGTCACTATTATTTCTTTATCCTATCTCATTTACAAGCTTCTCCTTTACTTTACCTTTATCCATGAGCTCTTGGCAATCTCTCTCATCCAGTACCAGGTCAATGTCGCTGTATCGCTCCCCGTTGGGCGACAGGTAGCTGTCCGTGGAGCCGTAGCGCGACTTGGGGATAACAAACTTGTTGTTCTTTAATGGCTGCAGCCCAAAAAAAACCAAAAAAAAGAACACGTTTTCCGATGCTTGTTTCAGTAGGTCCTGATCGTCTGACGTCAAAGTAAAACGTGACCATCTAGAGTCCCCGTGATCGGCCACGGTTGCAGTAGGCAAGCGTTTGGTTAGCAACCACATTGTGCATTGTAAACTAGAGAGTAATGCTTATTTTCACGTAAAATAACCGCAAATTCTTTATCAAAATGGCATAATGCTTGCTACCTGTGCCGTGTACGGTTGTCGTATAATTGTGCCGATCGACCCAGCACTGGCTCTGCATTTTTCTCGCAGTTTTTGCCATCCATCACAGCTTTGAAGGCTTAATTACCTACGTACTACGCACTGAAACGCGGCACTTTCTGATCTCTGCCTACTACCAGAGGCGTATCAAGGGGGGGGGGGGGGGGGCAGAGGGGGAAACTTGCCCCCCTGACGAATTTTTGGGAGAGAATTTTTTTCAGTAAGTATATCCATAAATGGTTAGAGAGTTCTGACATCAACCCCAAAAAAAGAAAATCAGCTCAAAAACCATTACAATGCGCCGTAAAAGTCGGCATAGATTTTCCAGTATGCACAATAATGGTCAGTTTTGAAGAGCGCCCCGATTTGAAAGATAGGTACCAGCCACCCCCCCCCCCCCAATTTTTTTATTTTACGGAGGCCGAGCGTCCAGAGAAAAAATTGTCTACAGTTCAGCGCCAATCAAAAGCTGGATACGGTACTGCCTACTACAATGGCACGCTGACTTTCCAGAACATAGATGTAGTCCGGCTGTCCGGGTCACGAGAGCCCTTTTGTAAACCCTCAATCCTTGCGGTTAGCCGAATAAATATATTCAAATGTTATAATACCTCCAAGTTCCTCTCTTCCGGTGTCCGGTCGTCCACCGATTCTGCGATGACATTCCATCGAACGTCGTGGTCCGTGAGGTAACCCTTATAGATAGGGGAAGCTGCACTCAATGCTAACTGCAGAAGACCAAACAAATAATAAGAAGATTTTTATACTCGTGAGCGGCACATGCAATTTACATAGCTAGAGTGTTTAAAAAAAATGAAGTAAAATTGTTGAATAAAATTGTTGGATGTTTATAATTGTTGACTTGTTTCGACTTTTTGATCGAAAGGTAAATTTATGAATGGGAATAAATATGTGCTTAGCTGGAATTAAACAAGCACGTTTATAACTGGCTTAAAGCATGGGAAACATGGTGCTTGTGCTCTTGGGCAAGGCACTTTACCATTATTGCTTCGTCCTTCGGATGGGGCGTAAAGCCGTAGGTCCCGTGTGTGTTGTGTAATGCACAATTACCTGTCTTTAAAATAAATTAGACATAATTACCAACGCCTTGAGTACCTAATTGTTGGTAGATACGTGCGCTATATAAGACTCCGGTATTGTTATTATTATTTTCAGTGACTACAACCCAGGCCAGTTTTAAACCACACGTTTTGAAACTGTTCCGGCAAACTATTATTCTAGGTTCTTGGTTGGTTCTTCTCCTAAATACTCCACGTTTATACAGGAGACCAGAAACATCGGGGCAAACCCTTCTCTTAGTGATAAGTGTCACTGGGTTCTTTTACGTGCATTGGATTACACAACACACGGGACCTAAGGCTTTACGTCCCATATATCCAAAGGACGAAGCAATAATGGTTAAGTGCCTTGCTCAAGGGCACAAGTGTCCACCCGGCGGGCGCTGTTGCCTCTGAAACACCAGAGCATGAGTCCGGTGTTCTTAACCGCTAGGCCATGACACTCCCTTATTAATGCAATGGTTTCAGATCATGCAAAAAAAATTGCACACTGTCGGCACTTACAATTATCGGGCACAGTGGCGTAAGCTGATCGTACAGGTGTCGCGCCTCTGTGATATTGCACGCTTGGAATGTCATCTGAAGACAGCTGTTGCCGAAGCCAAACCCCGTGCAGTCCATGTACACGTGGTCCGGCTTCGCTGCTCTAGCGCCCTCACCATCGTGGTCGTTTACGAACTCCTCGACGAAAGGAGTCAGAGTGTTCTTGTCTTTGAAAACTACGAAAAAGTGAAAAGAAGCAACCAGTTTTGCCTTAAAAAGACGTATGTCCATGCTCTTAAGCGAAGTAGCTTTTTTTTGTCACGATGAATTTGGACATTTGTTTCATTTTGAAATTGGTATAGTCTGAGTATCACCCGTTATCCGCGGAGCAAGTCTCCTGTATAACGTCTGATTAGTCTAGACATGCAGATATATGCAAGCGGCGCGCCAGCCAATCATAGTCGACTTTACTCAATCGTGACATCATTTCATTCCCAAATCAGGACTAAATGGTTTGATTGGTCAATTCAAATGCAGAGTTTTGTAATACAACAGCCGGGTGCATTATCGCATGAAACAGTTTTTTTTTATCCATGTCTATGACGCGCAACGGGTGAATGACCGAAGACCCGATGTATATAGAAAGCGCCCGCTGATTGGTCAAAATCTAGAGGTCAAGAGGCGGTTGTCTTACCTAATTAATCAGCTAATCTGCTCACATATCATAGTCTATATAGACAACCAAAAAGCATGCCAACACCAACTTTAACAAAAAACAACTTATTCTTTTCTCTGTTTTTGGAATCTGCAATACTTGCAAAAAAAGTCTTTTAATAGATATAAAAGCAGTCAACAGTTGTTAAATGTCAGCTTCAAAGATATGTTTGTAAACAACAATCGGGGAGGTTGGGAGAATCTAGAATAGTCCACCTACTTGGAATGTTGATAGCTACTTTCTCGCCTCGCCTCTTCCGTATATTCTTTGTAAAGCTGCTGCAGTTGGGAGAAAGTAAAACACGATCAATCTTAGTTGACGGTTTGCTCATTCCAAGACTCGACATGAATGCGATGAATAACGTACGTCAAACAATAAATTGTCTATACATCCTTGTTCAAAGAGATGTAGTGTTATAAAATGTATACTAACTGGGTGGATCATTAATAATTCTGAAAGTGGAGAACTCGAGAAGTAGATTCTCTTAAAAAAAACCACGAAAAAAACAAACCCGCCCCCCCCCCATTTTGAGTAAAATCCATATATCTATTTCGTGAAAACCTTATGGAGACGTATTCATCTACAGAAATTGCCCTGTGGAGACGTATACAATCTTTTGTTCCCTATTGTGTGCATGTCTCCAGAGGGCACAGTGTATCAGATCACACGGACACACAGAAGGAATACGCGATCGCAATATCCCCCTGTCTGGCTTGAAAGCCAGGGGGATAAAAAAAAAAGGATTATAAACTTTGACTTATATTCTTTCTGACCTGTACCGCGGATGTCCCAGGTAAATCGTTTCATCGGGAATGAAGAGAGACTTGTAGATGCCGTCATCGTTACTAGGGTTGGGCTTGTACCATGGTGTGGAAAAACTGGGACATCCCAGTCTAAAAAGTAAAAGTTGTACTTGCTAATCAATTCTTGGAAAACTAAATTGCCCAGATTTGTCTAATCATCACAACATTGTATTGTACATGTACTACCGTTATAAAAACAATATTGTAGTGTTTCCCCTGCCCATTCAAATATGAGGTGGCCTAGCCCCATAAATGTGGCCTATTTTACTGGACTGCCTCCGTAAACATAGGCCACACATCCACATGTACAAAAACGTGTCGCACTTTGCCAAATTTTGATTTTCGCATATAGGCTTAGTTTGTAGGTTTTTTTTGCTTAGAAGCATACTCACCCTCTTTATAGGATAATCAGAAAGTGCTGCCTTTTTCAGATGTATATTTTTCGTGAAATTTCCAGATTCATTTTTACACGTTTGCGTATCAAAATTTCAACATGAAATTTCACAAAAATTAGACATCTGAAAAAGGCAGCACTTTCTGACTAAAACCAACCCTTTTTAAGTGACGTCGCCATAAAGGCAGGCACTGGATACACCATCTTTTCCTCAAAATAATTTGGTTCAAGGGTCAGAATTTGCCTCAGATTGCACCACAGAGCATCTAGAATCCAACAATTTTCAAGGGCCCTTAAGCGGGCCCCGAACCCCTCGCCGTCATTCTTTGGACCCACTTTTTGGGGGACCAAATTTTTTTTGGCCTCCCCAAAAAATTGTCTTCTGGATCAGCCCTTGCATGCACCTAACATGTCTGCTTGCGACACAAATTGGCTGTTACTTTACCTGGGGAATGCAGTCAAGGTGAGGGCTGTCTCCCCTTTGGCTGTGTCCAGTAGCTTTTCCAATTCTTGCCTCCTGGAAAAAGAATGGCAATTTTTTGACATTAACAAAAATCGTCACACAATTTCTCTTACAAGTACATGGCCCCCCCAAGAGGTTGTCTATTTTTAAATTTTTTTTAAATTTTTTTTAGTCCCATGATTTTACCTTGGTGATATGTACAGGCCTATTTACGAGTAGGGTGTAAGTGGTGCCACCACAATGTCAACATAGTCCGCCCCCGAAAAAAAAATCAATTAAAAAAATCAAGCATGACTAGTTCAAATGAAAGCCGATCCCATTCCTATTATGCTGGGCATGTTGGTCACCACAGCATGAACCTTGCTATTTGTAAAGGCAAGCGTGATGTCAATGAAACTTTTAAGATGAAAAAAAAAAACCTTCAGGGGAAAGATGTTAACAATTGTCCCTATTCAAAGATCGAATGAATAAGTGTGGGAAAGTTCCTGGCGAGCAAACAACTTTGCCACCATGGTCTTTTCCGAAATCATGGCAATTGGACACCGTACAGCAGGTAAAGCCGTACAATAATAAAGGAAAATTGGGCCTTAACGTTCTTCCAGAGGTTGCAATGTTCTGGATGCAGTGTGATGACAAGAGAGGTAGTCTGGCAGCCAGAGGGGTGAAAAAAACCATTTCATGGCATTTGGGTCAAGCTTGAAAGCCAGGGGGACACAAATGGAAAAAGGGGGTTGACATCAAAGTAAAGTTTGCGAAGTAAAGTTAAAGGGAAGATACAACATTTGCAAACATCAAAACATGAAATGATCAAATTATCACGAAATACCTTACTGGATTGTTAAGGAATGACAGTCTGAAGCATCCTGTAAAATCGTGGCTCCTGGTGTGCTGACATTTTCAAGAAAAACTGTATTTTTCCAACGCTGGTCGGCCGACCAGCATTGGAGAAAACTGGCTTTTTTTCTCAAAAACTGCTCCTTATTTTTTATATTTAGTTATTCCGCATTTTCTTTGCAGTTGATTACACACCTGTGATGAAGGGGTACTCCTAGAAGTATGAGGCTCCACGTAGTGGAGCCTCATAGTTCTAGGAGTAATGAAGGGGTACAAGCCAGCTAGACCGATTCTCTGAACTTACAATTCCCCAAAGTCTATAAGTTGCTCCGTTTCATCTTAAGTGGAGTCAGGGAACCAGACTACAAGAACATGATTGGTTTTCTTGGTTTTTCCAGCATCTACAAGCCCAAAACGTGAAACAAGTCAGTTTAACAATATTTGCTATAACATTCTAATCCTCCAAATCCATTTATTTCTGAAAATTGCAGCAAAAGCAAATGTTGTATACATTCCCTTTAAGTCACTTGAAGTTTATTGTAGCTGGACTGACCGGAGTTTCATATTAGCTTCTACAGTGTTCAGATGTGCCATCAATCCCCCGTACGGCTTTCCGGGAGTGCTTTCAACCATGTAGGCTGCGTACTCGGGATGCCAGAGCGTGTTCGAATCGCCCCTGAAAAATGAGAATGAGAAAATTAAGAAATAATAGGTTTATACTTTCACGCCAGACTGCTATAAAAGGTTTTAAATCAGACCATCCATCACTGTGTCATTTTCTTCACGTAATAAATTTTTTAAAGAAAAAAAAAAACTTCAGAATTTATTGATGTGGAGCTGTGGAGCGAAGTAAGAACATTGAACTTGTACCAGTGGCGCACCCAGGATTTGGTGGGGGGGGCTCAAAATTGTTTTTTTTACACATTTTTTAAAGTAGAATTTTTTTCAGGATTTTTTTTTTTTTTTTTTTGAGGAGCGGCCTATTTTGACATTGTTGGCGCCACCTACACCCCTGTTATACTACTTGACAATAGGCCACATACATATCACCAAGGCCAAATCGTGGGATTAAAGAAAAAATAATGACCCGTACTTCTGGAGAATTAACTGAATAGGCAGTATATACTTTTGCTAGACTGAGAGGCTCAGCACAGATGTCAATTTTAAAATTTATACAGGGTGAGTCAATAAAAGTGGAACCCAAACTCCCAAAATATATTTATTTAAAAAAAAAAGTTGCACCAAAAATAATAATGACTGGAAAGCCAATTTCATAAGCTACATTTAGATGAAAAAAATTACTGAAATTGCTCAATCCGTTCAAAGAATATCACCATTTAAACGCAATGACCCTAAAACCTGTTTTGTCCAAAAACAGCAATTTTATATTGTGTTCTGACTGTTTGGAACAACAAAGAAAATGACAAAAAATACTTGTTTTAACAACTGTCAACAACCGTAGTAGGCCTACACTGTATATCTTTATTAACAACCCTGGTTATATATGAAACCAGTATACGATTTACAAAAATCCACTTTTGTTCAAAAAGACCAGCCTTCAAAAGGACTTTGTTGAATATTTTAAACTTTTGAACTGAGGTTTTATGGCTGTGATGGTTAAAGACAACTGTGATGACGATTCTTGAAATCTCATTTGTGAACTTTTGTGGAGTCCTTTCCGGAAAGAAATCAAATTTTAGGCTTTAGGACTCACCCTGGGTTATTCTCTTCCTTTTCTTGCAGCCTTGGGAGAATCTCTTCTGCTTTAAGTAGAAGTTTTGCTGACTTGTTTTCATGATCCAGCTTGACCAACATGTACTCAACCTGAAAGAGCAGGACGCAAAGACAACAAAATAAACTCCATGCATGAACAGTACAGGGCGAGTAAAAAAAACCACGAAACACAAATGTTGGGACCATTGTTTTGGTGAAGTTCTGCATGTAGCACTTTCAAAATCTGGGATATAAAAGCCCAATTCATAAGATTTCTTTTAGTACAAGAATCATTCAAATCACTCATGTACTTTTCAAGTAACAGAATTTTAAACACAACCACCGTTTTAGGTTCTGTCCACAGATCACAAAAAAGTGTGCATTCTTTCACCAAAACGAAAACAATTCACACACTTCCTATGTGATTTGTTGTGATCTGTGGACAGAAACTTAAAACGGTGGTTGTGTTTAAAATTCCGTAACATGAAAAGTTTTTTGGGGGGCCCTTAAGCAGGCCCCACACCCCACACCATAAGGGCTTCGCACTTCGTGCTCGTATTAGTTCTGATCAAGGCATGTTCCCCCCCCCCCACCCCAACTTTTGAGAAGCAATTGACGCCCCTGCCTACCTCATCCCCCCATTTGAGCATGTCACACGGCCGGTCTTTCAGCTTGTTGTAAAGATTGACAAACTGGATGAGTCCATGGCGACGGATGTGTTCGTCGTAACCGTTGGCCTTGATTTCTTCCCATGATAGTGGTGTGCCCAGGCTCAGGAGACCCATAGTACCCAAGTGCTACACCCGCAACAGGGAAAGATGAGTATGATGTTCTGTCAGTGTGGTCTTATTAAAGAAATCGCGAGATTCAATCATTTTACAATGATACACAATGGAAATATATAGGCGTAGCACGCGCAGTGGGGTACTCCCCCCCCCCAATATTTTCTAAGACTGATCTTTTCCAATCAAATGCCCTTTTTGTAACCAGCGCTGCCCCCCCCCCCCCCCTTCCACACAAAAATGTGTAAAGAGTGCCCTTTATTTTTTTAAACAAGTGCCCTTCTTGGAAAGAAGTCGTGCCCTTTTTTTAGCCATTGGCCGTTCCGGCTGGTGTTTTTTTTTTATTTCACGCATGTATCGCCCTGAAAAGCACCATATATTATCCATTAGTGTGCATGATCATTGGTTTTGTACCATCCCCCCTCCTTGTTTGATTTTACGGAGGCCAACTGTCTGGAGAAAAAACCGTGTCAAAATTTTAGCACTGGATGTGAAAGTGCAAAATTCAAGAAATTTCCCTTCCCCTCAAATAAAAATGACCTAGCTGTACGCCACTGAAATAACATTATTCAGAAATATTTTAACCAAAAAAAAGGCCTAGCTAATGGAAACAACTAAAATAATTGGTGTGGCCATAGTATCAACACACACCTAGCCTACTAACTTTTCCTTGAGTAATAAAATGGAGAATTCTTATAGCCACAGGTCTTGTTACCATGGATACATTGCCTAGAGCCTTAAACAAGGAAGTACAGGATGAGCCCGAGTAAAAAAAAAATCGCAACCCAAACTTCATAAAATATATTTCATATTTAAAAAAAATATGTAGCACCAAAAATAAAACTGACTGGAAAGCCAATTTCATAAACTACTTTTAGATGAAAAAAAAAATACTTAAATTGCTCAATCCGTTCAAAGCATATAACATTTAAACACATTGACGCTAAAACTTCATCTTTTGTCCAAAAATGTAATTTCAAGAATTGTCGTCACAATGTCTTCAAACATCACCAGCGATAAAACCTCAGTTTAAGAGTTAAAATATTCAACAAAGTCCTTTTGAAGGCCGGTTTTTTGAACAAAAGTGGATTTTATAAATCATTATCTGATTGTTTGCCTATATAACCAGGGTTGTTAATAAAGATATTGTGCATAGGCCTACAGATGACAGTTGTTGAAACAAGTATTCTGTGTCATTTTTGTTGTTCCGAACAGTCAAAACACACAACATAAAATTGCTGTTTTGGGACGAAACAGGTTTTAGGATCATTGCGTTTACATGGTGATATTCTAAGCTTTGAACAAATTGAGCAATTTCAGTATTTTTTTCATCTAAAAGTAGTCTCTGAAATTGGCTTTCCATGCCGTCAGTATTAATTTGGTGCTATATATTTTGTTAAAATATGAAATATATTTTGGGAGGTTTGGGCTCCGCATTTTTTTTTTACTCACCTTATATAGGGTGTCCTGAAAATAATGAGGCATGTAAACCCTGCCATTTTCGCCAATTTACAACCGGAATTTATTGCAAATGTTTACCTGATCTTCAAGGTTACAGATTTAGCTTGAGAATAATGTTTGTTTAATTAAGATTGCTTTTGTCAATCCAGAGATATGTTTGAATAACCGCAAAGCCAAAAAAACCAATTCTCTGCCAGTTTTAGGAAGCGAGTGCTTCTAAGATCAGACAATGCCAGTATGGCTCTTTTGATAAGATTATTCCTATGGGTGTAAGACAAACATTCCATTCACACGACAATATTATAGGGTTTTGTTCTTATGTTGAAACAATTTAATAGTACAGACAGGTTCACTTCTCTAAAACTTCAATGAAAGAGTTCAATTAAATGTAAATAAATATTGCACACTCCGCTTAAAAATGTTAAAATCACTAACAGTAAAGTGATTTGGTTTTAGGCTGGGACTCTACTGATTTTAACTGCTTAACAGAAAGTGACACTAAATTGGGTTTCTTGGCTTTGCCATTATTCAAACATGTCTTTGGATTTACAACAGCAATCTCAATGAAACAAACGGTATTCTCAAGCTAAATCTATTACCTTGAAGATGGTGTAAACATCCACAGTTGTAAATTAGCAAAAATGGAGGGGTTTACATGCACCATTTTTTTCCCCCAGGACACCCTGTACATTGTAATTCAACAACGGGTGCTTGACCTCAATCCTCTGACTGATCCAACCCAAGCTCAGGGTAGTCAGGGGCTTCTGGCCAACTATAATTATATGCGCCAAGGTAGTCTACTGGCCCATGGTCAACAGTGTAAGTTACTAGGCCTCAGGCATCGTCACTAGCGACATTGATTTACTACTACAAATGTCCTGGGCCATCAGGGGACCGCACAGAAAAGTCTTGAAAGTTACTTATTCCTAATTCATGGAGGCATGGGCGTCACTAGGATTTTTTTTGGGGGGGGGGGGCAAAGCAAATTTTTTCCCCAAAATTCCTTAACTTTTGCATTATATTCTCAATTTTATCATTTTTCCCAGCGTGACCAGGGAGCCTTTGCCCTACCCCCCCCCCCCCCCCCCCCCATCAAGTTAACAGCAATATGGCTTCGCACCTCTTTTTTTGTTTTCATTTTCCAGGAGGGGGCAAGCGCCCCCTTGCCCCCACCCCCCCCCCCCCCTCGTGACACCCATGCATGGAAGAATTCCTCAATGTTCCTTTCCAACTGTCCCGCTCTATAAAACAAGTGGTCTAAATTCAGTACTGTGGACAAGCCACTTGAACTTGCATTGAATCCTAACCATTAAGTACAGGAAATACTGCACTTCTAATAGATTTAAAAGTACCATGGGTAACATTGTATACACTTAATAGACACAAGTTAAAGCAGTGGCGCACCAAGGATTTGGGTTTTTTTATTTGGGGTGGGGTGGGCTCACAAGTTTTTTTGTAAATTTTTTTAGAAGTTAAATTTTTTTTTTTTTTTTGGGGGGGGGGGGGGGACTTTTGACGTTAGTGGCGCCACTTACACCCCTATTATACTACTCAAAAATGGGCCACATACATATCACCAAGGTAAAATCGTGGAACTAAAAAAAATTGCCAGGGGGGGGGGAGCCCCCCTGTAATGTTGTGAGCTTGTCACTAGCACATGGATAATAGTTGTTGCTCCGATGCTTGCTTGGTTTATTGTGTCTCAGTACATCTCAGTACATCACATGAGGTTCTATGCTTATCAAAGGGCTACATTGTTCTAGGGTGCAATCTGATCTAAATTGGGGCCTTATTCATTATTCATTTAGTAAGTTGGGGTTCATGCATTCCAGTGGATGAGGTAATGTCTGGGTTTGGGTGTGTGGTTTCAGAGCACGTGGTGCCTATATGTAACCTGGAAAAATGACACACCTGGGGAACTCGCGAAAACTAATACAACTATGGGGATTCTAACCAAACTAAACTCAGGATCTTTGAAGAGAAAAGGCGCGAGGAGACTGAATTAATAGGGACAAGGGACACAATTCTAGATTTCGAACAAAAAAAGACAAAAGGAATTTATTTACAAGAACTTCAAATCAAAATCAAAACAAAAGATGAAGACCAAAAACTTAAACCTAAAACCAAAGACTCAAACCAACACAGTGTGTATATTAGTAGACCTTAAAGACACTTCTGGCAGAAAATCTGTAAAACAAGATAAGAGAGTAAAGAACATAATAAAAAACAGTAAACAATGCAAACAACTCAAGCTACACTAGGTCTAAAGTAATATAAACAATGCCATGTGGAACTACTATACACTCTTGCCAAGAACACTAAAATTTCTCGTGAATACCTAATGAGCAAGATAAACAGTGGTCCCTGTCTTTTGAATGCCAGGTGGGACTAATCACCAAGGGGGTAATTCAACATTCCTGAATAGTAAACTTGCACAGGTCCAAAGCAGATAAGAATAACTAAATGAAACATACAAAATAAAGGAAATGCAAGTCTACAGTAAATGAACAGCTTGGACAAGTCTAACTAATGAATAAACATGGCAAACTAATCAGTAAGAAGTCTGTGGGAAAACCACTCATCTTGGCTTTATACATGTACAATAAAACAATAAAGGTAATGAAGAAAACACCATCCAAAATAATGAAATCAGATGTCAAAAGAAAAAGGCAATGCAATGCATCTATCCAAGTCATTCCTCGGAAATTAAGTCAATGAAATAAACCAACCTTCTGACAACACAGTTTTCCTCGAAAATAACAGAACTCTAACATGTCTAATGATCCTGATCAATCAAAATCAAACAATACAAGCTAACTTTCTTCAAGTAATTTCTAAATAAACCCAATCTCAAAACTTCAAGTGATAATTCCTACAACTTACAAGGCTGTTCAGGAATTCTATAAAACTTGATTGTCAAAACTCTGAACAATACCAAAACAGATCAAAACTTCTAAAAAACTTAATAATACACTTAATGAGAAAATACAAAAAAACATATATCAGAACTCACCAATAACTCGAGCAGATAAACTCTCACACAGGGCAAAGCGCACCCAAGAAAATCAAAGGGGAAAGAGAGGTAATAAAATGCACGGTCCTCTCTCTACTGCCGCTGGTCTGCTACTGATCATGAGGGGTCTGTGGTCTTACAGGGTGGGCAGGGCACATGGTCTTGAGACAGGGGAAACCAATGGCATGGGAACAATTTACATACAATGTGAACTGTTACTGGGGAAAGCTAATCAGGGGTACACACTTCTATGAAAGGGTAGGGGACATCTAATAAAAGGGGTGATTTATTCAGGGGACCTACTCCTATCCTAAAACACTACAAAAAATACAGTAAAAACTACAAGTAAAACTTGGCCCTGCCACACTCACGCCATCTTTAAAATATTGCTGTCCCCAGCAATGGCAATAAAAATCAACTTAATTCAATTAAACATGATTAAAACAAACAAACAAACAAAATGCTAAAATACACAATACACTTCAATACATTATTGAGGACATTTAAGTCAACCACAAATTTAAACTAGACAAAAATACAGTGATCAGGGTCCTCTGTCATCCCGGAACTCTGGAGGCGGTGAGATCTCACCGGACGCTTCCCTCCCGTTTCGCTGTACGCCCCTGCGATGGCACCTCATGTATGCCATTGCTTCATTATGAAGACTAGGCCAATAATACCTGTCCTTGACAAGCTTCAGGATTCTTCCATAGCCGAACTTGTCCATGCTTCCGTGGAGACTATGAAACACTTCCTCTCTCTGCTGTCGGGGAAGCACTGCCAGGTATCTACATGTAGCCTTCCCGCCGCCCTTCTTGTACATCAGAAGTCCTCCCTTCACCTCTAGTCGACGCCATACTCCTAGCAACTTCTGCACCACTCTGGTTTCTTGGGACATTTGCCTCCTTGTCATCAGGGGGCTTGCCGTCTTGAGCTCAACAACCCGCCTGATTGCGGGATCTTTCAGCTGAGCTTCCCTGAGGCTTATCCTTTCGGAACTCATACCTCCCTGAGAGCTGGCCTGTGTCGCCTCATCAGGGGTGCTTGCGTGTGTTTCTGGCGCTGGCTGGGGGATGGGCTTAGGGACTTCCTGCACTGGCTGCGGGTTGGGGGTTTTCGGTACTGGCCGATGTGGGATGGGGACTTCTGGAACTGGCTGATTTGGGGGACGCTGATTCACCTTAACATCTGACAGGGCGCACTCCAGACTATGTATGTAGCATCTCTGCCTCATCTGTTCGCCCATCACCTGCCGCATCATCTCCTTGAGTGCGTTTATCTGCCGAAATTGCTGCAGAATAACCTCTTGCATACTGGACTGGTGCTGCAGGAGTCTCAGCATCTCAGACTGTGGCTGCACATCAGGGACTTCAAGGTTGCAGGTTTCAGCAGGTACTGGGTCGAAACCACAGAGCTGGAGTGGAGTCCTGACATCCACCATCATGTACTTGTCCGATCCACCAATATAACAACACTGTGTTGGTTTATAGACTCTATTACTTGACTTATCTAAACTGACCACCAAAGACAGAAAAAACCTTTGAAAAACTGCCTGTCGTCCCTATCAAAACAATTCCTGGCTAAATTTTACTAAAAAAAATATATTCCCTACACGGATTCTCCACCAAAAATAGTAAAAAAATGTAACCTGGAAAAATGACACACCTGGGGAACTCGCGAAAACTAATACAACTATGGGGATTCTAACCAAACTAAACTCAGGATCTTTGAAGAGAAAAGGCGCGAGGAGACTGAATTAATAGGGACAAGGGACACAATTCTAGATTTCGAACAAAAAAAGACAAAAGGAATTTATTTACAAGAACTTCAAATCAAAATCAAAACAAAAGATGAAGACCAAAACTTAAACCTAAAACCAAAGACTCAAACCAACACAGTGTGTATATTAGTAGACCTTAAAGACACTTCTGGCAGAAAATCTATAACTCGAGCAGATAAACTCTCACACAGGGCAAAGCGCACCCAAGAAAATCAAAGGGGAAAGAGAGGTAATAAAATGCACGGTCCTCTCTCTACTGCCGCTGGTCTGCTACTGATCATGAGGGGTCTGTGGTCTTACAGGGTGGGCAGGGCACATGGTCTTGAGACAGGGGGAACCAATGGCATGGGAACAATTTACATACAATGTGAACTGTTACTGGGGAAAGCTAATCAGGGGTACACACTTCTATGAAAGGGTAGGGGACATCTAATAAAAGGGGTGATTTATTCAGGGGACCTACTCCTATCCTAAAACACTACAAAAAATACAGTAAAAACTACAAGTAAAACTTGGCCCTGCCACACATACATAGCTATCCTGTAAGGATACTACATCCCCCCCCCCCCCTTGGGTGCGCCACTGAGTAAAAGCGGTGATTACAAACGAAATCTACAAAAGTAATATATAACAAAAGTATGCCGCAGTACATAATGGGATCACTCAACCTTAATGCACCCAGCCGTAGTGGCCTCCGCTCCAGTAACAACCTTAGAGTTCCACGCACATTCAAAATGGCAGGGGACAGGGGCTTCTCAGTGTCTGGTCCCCGATGCTGGAATTCCTTGTCACACAACATCTGCAACATCAGTTCTCTTGACAACTTTAAGGGCAGACTGAAACCTGATCTGTTCCCGAAGGTCCCCAATTTACGATCGTGCACAAAACATATGGGAGGTCCTCCTAAAAAGTAAACAAAAGAGTGACATTGCAACGGGGGTCCCCAATTGCAGGCAAATACAAACTTCTGTGTGTGTGTGTGGGCATGTCTATACTTGTTCTACATAACCCCCGAGGACAGACACACAAAGGGAGAACAACAGATCCTTTCAGTCCTCGGGAGTTGGGTCTTTTGTTGGAAATGGTTCTCTGTAGTCAGTTTGTGTGCTTAGTCTATGGGAGAGTGTTATATTACAGAAACAAAGGGAAACACAAAGCATTGTCCTCGAGAGTATAGTAAAACAAGAGAGTATTGTATAGACGCATGTACACTTATGGGGAAGACCTTTGTTTCCCTTCTATTGTTCTCCTTTGTTCCTATTGAAATCTTAAACTCCATAGCATTTCCCTTATGGGGAAGATAGAATTCTAAAGACTTCCTTATGGGGCCTATTGTTCCATTGTGTTTTCTACCCCATAATTAAGAAACCATGTACACGTCCCCCCCCCCCCCCCCAAGAAAACTACATTAAATAGAAATAGCAAACTACCTACCTTGCAACAAAAAGAACAAAACAACAAATAACAATAAAATACAAATGAAAAAAATTATTTGGTTTTCAGTTGCTCATCATGTTATCAACATAATGTACATGTAATTTCATCTTAAGATATAAAAATTTTACTTCCATCAAATTCTACAGGTTAATAAAAATTAAGATTTCTCACTGATGAGACCAGAAAACAGAACAAAGTAAAATCTGCTGGTGAAAGATTAAATTACAGAAAACAAAAAAGCAAATCAACTTTTTTTAAATTCTATTTTTCGTTTTTTTTAGGACTTATGGATAGACCTTATGTGTTAAAGGGGGAAGGGTGGGGTAGTCACAGTCTTCATAACTAATCTGGATCAATACAATAAACTTGAATTGTCATCATTAAAATTCAGAGTTATACAATGAAATTAAATAAGCATGATCTGATACACCGTGCCCTCTGGAGACTGTGTACAATAGGGAACAAAACATTGTAGGTCTCCACAGGGCAATTTCTCATAGATGAATACGTCTCCACAAGGTTTTCACGAAATAGATATATGGATTTTACTCAAAAACTAGGAATTTCCAAGGTTGGTTGATTTGTCGCAAATGGAAGAGTTTTAGAAAAGGGATATTTAGTCCAAATTTCACTCAAGGAAATTAATTCTGGTTAAAATAAGAGCATTTTGAAACTACACTTTCAAACTCAAAAACTTTAGTACACGAGAACAAAGAAATGTCTCCACAAGGATACAGATTCCAGTATGGTTGGTATCCATATGTATGACGTAGAAATATATTTATTATCTAAACCTAATATATATATATGTATTATATATGTATATGTATTAACTCATCAGGGAAAATGGTGGGGTGCAATGCCCTCCAAAATAAGTGTCAATAATAAAGTTTAAATAATAATAATTATTAAATGACATTTTAATAATTATTAAATGACTGTTTTTAAATCAACGCTACTCATTCATGAAATATTGATAGTAATAAAAATGGGGACAAGCAACCCGCAGCAACACACGAGAGGGCGCTATCAACAAGTATAATCAAATCCAGTCTCGGGAACGTTGGCACCCCGACCCGAAGCGATTCCGAGCACACCCCGAATTGACACATTAGCTTGAATACAGCGCGCATGAGGTATGCTCAAATTTTCATGGGTTGCACCGCCAAAGTGCCCAAGACTAGACTTGATTTGTGTTGTTGAGAGCGCCCTCTATCCCTTACTGCAGCTCGACTGTGCTGGCCGGCCAGGGAGCGATATTTTTTTCCGTACACATACATTCGTTATGGGCGTATTTCGAAGTACGTTGAGTTGCAAGTCAGGTTCTCGGACTTTATTTTCCCTTGAATAAAAGTCTTCCAAACCACATATTGGTAAAAAAAATGTTCCAAATGACTAACAAACCTTTTTTAGAGAAAAAAGAAGAAGTAAAGACGAAGAAATTAAAAAAGCATCCGATGGGAATTGAACTCACACCATCGGATTTGTAATCCAATGTAATATCCATGACACTACAGCAGTGACTCAATCGATATGGTAGTTTTAAACATTATACCATATATGGCACATATATAGGGCCCTCCAGCATAACTCTATATATAGTAGCGAGCATGTGGTATGGAAAAATAAATCGCGGCCTGGGATTGGCTCGTGACCGGCTGCAACACAAAAGAAAATTCCAGACTTGGAATAAGACTAGCCAACTTTAGGAAAAGGTGATTTTAGACAAAAATTTTCCCAGGACACTGAGTTTGAAGTGACAGACATTGGCACTTTCATAAACAAGAATTTGTTTAAAGGCACTATCATAAGATACATTTCATAAAAATATGCCGTGACTCTTAGAAATTAAAATTACAAGATCTTACACTGCGAGAATAAAAATAACCAATATACATTCTATCATAATCAGAGATAGTTTTCTAACTTTCACAAATTTATAGATTACGAACATAATTTTTGTCAATTAATAATTTTTTTCCATTTTCCCCCCTAAATTTTCATCTACATTTCTTACAGGGATATATTGTTTAACATGTATATATAAAATGTCTGGATTATGGAAATAGAATACCCTGTTATTCGTACGTGCTTGATAAAATTTTTCCCAAGTTTTTGTTTGCGCCCAAGGCCCTATTAACCAAATAGTCACATACTGCCCCAAACCGCCCCAAACCACCCCATTTTAAGAAGTAAATACATTGTAACAGAATGTATATGGCCAAATTTCATAGCGCTGCTTAACAGTTAGCAAGAAAGTTGTGCTTACTATAGCAGAAAATTGTGCTAAGCTTAAGCACTATTTCAAGGCGTGGATGTGCTAACGGGTGCGTGCCTATGGAGATTTCTATTTAAGCAAGCGTAACCTACTGTGGCAAATGAGGAATGTCCCCCAAAACCTTGTTTTCAGAAATCGACGCCTGAATTCGGAAATATTAGAAAAATCTTTTCCAAATCGATTTTGAATTTTTTTGTTGTATTTTTGAGTAGCCAAGGTATCCAAGATTCACACTACAGATTTTTGCTGGGAAAAAAATAACACAGAAAGTGGAAAATCTGGAAAAAACAATGTTAGCTGCCTAAAAATGGTACTTTTTTTTTCAAAGCCGTTTCTCAAAATGAGGTCGGCGAAGTTTGGCGGGACACTGTTGAAGTTCCTGCAGCGTATATTTGAAATGAATTATGCTACAGAATTAAATTTGGTATCATTGGAAAGCCAATGATTTGTGCTTTAACATCATGTGTATAACTTGAAAAGTCACAGGTGGGGGTTATTCCTCATTATGATATGGCAGGTCACATTTTTCCTCTGAGGTAAGCGTGCTTTTTGTAAGCTCACTGCTTACTGGTCACGGTCTCCATGAAATAGTCAAAGGTTCTGTTAACAGAAAATTGTGTGCTTAGCAGCGCTATGAAATTGAACCCACATGCTAATAGGTTAAAGGCCCTGGTGATATCTATTTTTCTGTGAACTCTCATTGGACAGATTTTGTTTATCACACGTAACCCTGGGTCAACAATTCCCTCAGCATACCGAATGTAAATGCTAGATCATGGCGGTAATTACCCACAATCCTCTGCATTTCCTTCGCACAATTTTGAGAGTTAAACAGTCACCAATGCCCTTCCACAAGGCAGTGGTTGTAACTGATCACTAGAGGGCGCTACTGCTCATCCAGCCTGCCAAGCGAGGGCGCTACACAATCTCCTGGGCAACCTTGACCGAGTTGGGGATGTCATTGGAGGATTTGGACTCCGTGCAGTGGAACAGCTCAGGGGCCGTCATCTGACCCTTCGTGATTTGGTCGCAGGCCGTGACCAGGTCGTAGTTGATTCTGTCTGTGACGACGGAGTCGTGTTTGTACTCTGGGTGACTGTCGACGAAATCCCGTATCCAAGCGGCCAATGTCTGAAGTTTTCCTAGAAAAAAAACAACAACCGAAAACATAAACAACTAGAAAGCACTCAGAGAGCGCAAACCTCCGCCAAGGCTAAACAGTGCCTCGCCATATTGTCAGTACACCCAAAAGAAATACTCGCATAAATGGTGAAGAATCCTTTAATTTTTCACAGGGGCTGGTATGACGTGCCAAGTTTTTGATTTAATAAAAAAAGTTTGTTTCTCTACAGACCTGCACAGATTTCAGAATATGACAAGAATAAAATAATGTTCATGTTAGCCGATGTCCGATGTTAGCTAATTTCTTTTTTTATCATATTAGTTTCTATAAATGGACTTGAAATAACATGCATAAGTGATGGCTAAGTCCCAATGAATAAAAAAATAGGTTTTGACTTCCTATGGGCTCCGTGCGCCAACAAAAGAGGGCGCCCTTTTAGCTAGCAACAATGTCCCATGGGCGGGACATTTAGCTGGTTGACGCGCACCATTCCAAATTGTGTGTGTCGCATGTACACCAGGGGATTTGAACTATGTACACGCAGTGGTACGGTCGCGCGTCGCGGCAAAATTGCAGCCAGGCAAGATGGCGTCGGTCAGTCACCCCCAACTGTACTTTCTTTGCCGGTGAGGGGGTACTTGGATAATATTCAATGATCTGAAATGTGCCATGGTCTTTCACTTCAGTTCCCTAATATTCCCCCCCCCCCCCCTTTCAGTGTCTGACCACGCCCACTCACCGGACGCCCTATCCGAGATGAGCTTCAGGTAACACATGATGGTACACCTCGTATCCAGGTCTGTTTCCACACTTGCCAGGTACTGGTTGATAAGGGGGATCAGGCCGGGGAAGTCCCCCTGGCCGTCCCCCAGCGGACCTCCGTTGATGATGGTGTTGATGCTCATAAGGCATTGCTCGTTCTCAATTGGGCAGTCGCAGGCACCTTGTGGCAAAAGGTCAAAGTTCAGAGAGCATAGACAATTTCTGTGAATCATCACAAATTTTGTTCATACAGTTTTTGGGCTGAAACAAATACAAGTATACATCTTTCAGACAACTGACTCGGAAAAGAATTTGAAAAGGGATGTTTTACTTACAAGATTGTAGGTCTTTACGGAAGTAAAACTTGGAGTTGAGGATAGCATTGCGTTTCTGTGCTTGCTGCATGTTGAGGTCCACCTAAAGCAAGAAGAAATCATAAACTACATGTGAGGACTTGTGAGGACTTCTGATGACTTGTGGGGACTTTGAGGACTTTGGAGGACTTGTAAGGACTTGTGGGACTTGTGGGGACTTTTGAGGACTTGTGATGACTTGTGGGACTTGTGGGGACTTTTGAGGACTTGTGAGGCCTTGTGAAGGACTTGTGAGAACTTGTGATGGACTTGTGAGGACTTGTGATGACTTGGGTTGACTTGTGGGGACTTGGGACGTTTGAGGACTTGTGGGGACTTGTGAAGGACTTGATGGATTTGTGAGGACTTCTGATTGACATTTGAGGACTTGTGATGACTTGTGAGGATTTGTGAGGACTAAGACTTGTGAGGACTCAAGTACAACACTGGACATGTCAGGACTTATGACTTGTGTGGACTTATGAGGGCTTGTGGGGACTTGTAATGGATATGTGAGGACTTCTGATTGACATTTGAGGACTTGTGTGGACGTGTGCGGACTTGTGATGACTTGTAATGATTTATGAGGACTAAGACTTGTGAGGACTAGGTCTTGTGAGGACTCAAGTACAACACTGGACGTGTCAGGACTTATGACTTGTGTGGACTTATGAGGGCTTGTGAGGACTTGTAATGGACATGTGAGGACTTCTGATTGACATTTGGGGACTTGTGTGGACTTGTGATGACTTGTAAGGATTTGCGAGAATTTGTGAGGAAATGTGAGGACTTGTGAGGACGTTTGATTGACATTTGAGGACTTGTGGTGACTTGTAAGGCCTTGTGAGGACTAGGACTTGTGAAGACTCGGGTACAACACTGTGGTAGCGCCCCAAAGCAATCACCTTTGATAACTGCATCAGCAAGTTCAGCTTGAAGGTCAGTATCGTGCGGGTCAGCAGAACTACAAAGACCACAAAGGCTGCGTTCTCAAAGTCTGTCAGCTGGACCTCAATCGGTCGGAATTCCACCCTCCAGCCGATGTTGGAGTTGACCGGTGGCGGCTTGAACCTCATCGTCTGCCAGTTGGTGGACTGAATGTTCTGAAATGTAGCAGTCAAAGACTTGTACTCACGAGTCAAATCACTTGTATGGTGCAAAGTAGATTTTAATTCCTGGTCACTGGACTTCAGATAAGATAGCGTTTGTGATCTACTAGTGAGGACTTTAGGAACGTTATGTACTTCAAATTATCAGAAATCAAAGCAGGCAGCAGAAAAAGAGAGAAACTTTTGAAAGTCAACAAGCTGCTTTCTTCTAAAGAATTATTTATTAGCTCTTTTGAAATTATTTATTAACCTTTTCATTAGCTTTGTATCTGAGAAGCTCTATTTTTTTTTATAGAAGATGTTACCATGGAGGAAAACTTCTCTTGCTGGACACCCATAAACTACCTGAGCATCAGCTTGGTTTTTTTTTTAATTTACACATTTCGTAACAAAGCGGTTTTACAAAGCACAGTTTGGGATGATGTTTGGTGGCGTACCTCAAAGTGATCCGAGTCCTTAGAGTCATCCTGGTCAATCATCTCAGCGAAGACGGACACGGGATCCCGGATGAAGAGATGGGCTATGTGCCGAGCCAACTGACGATCAATACCTAATGATAACGACAACAAGATAACATGATCTAGGGTACTACATGGGACAAATTATGTACAAGTGGAGCGTCGCTATACCGAACACCGCTATACCGAACGTTTGGCTATACCGAGCATTTGGCTATACCAAACATCGTCCTCGGCTCCTTGTGTACAACACGTACCAAACGCCGTTGTTCAAAAATGTCAGCAAAAGAGCGACAAGTGGCTATTATTTCCCCGGTGGTATAGTTTTATTTGGGGCGGTACAGGTAGTAACAGGTAGGCAGCTTTGGGGGGTGTACAGAGTAACAGGCAGGGCTGTTTGGGGCAGTACAGGGAGTAACAGACAGGATGGTTTGAGGCAGTATAGAGGGTTACAGGCAGGGTGGTTTAGGGCAGTACAGGGAGTAACAGGCAGGGTGGTTTGGGGCAGTACAGGGAGTAACAGGCAGGGTGGTTTGGGGCAGTACAGGGAGTAACAGGCAGGGTGGTTTGGGGCAGTACAGGGAGTAACAGGCAGGGTGGTTTGGGGCAGTACAGGGAGTAACAGGCAGGGTGGTTTGAGGCAGTACAGGGAGTAACAGGCAGGGTGGCTTGGGGCAGTACAGGGAGTAACAGGCAGGGTGGCTTGGGGCAGTACAGGGAGTAACAGGCAGGGTGGCTTGGGGCAGTACAGGGAGTAACAGGCACGGTAGTTTGGGGCAGTACAGGGAGTAACAGGCAGGGCGGTTTGGGGCAGTACAGGTAGTATTAAACAGGCAGGGAGCTGGGGGGGGGGTGGGAGCACAGGGACTAATTGGTGTTGTACCTTTATCCATGAGCTCCTGGCAATCTCTCTCATCCAGTACCAGGTCAATGTCGCTGTATCGCTCCCCGTTGGGCGACAGGTAGCTGTCGATGGAGTCGTAGCGCGACTTGGGGATAACAAACTTGTTGTTCTTTAATGGCTGCAAAGAAAAAAAGTAGAACAGTTTTCAGATGCTTGTTTCAATTTCGATTGTATGATGTCGAAGTACCACGTGACCATCCAATTTTTTTTGCCATCCAGTCCACAGCTTTGAAGGCTTGCCTATTATATACTGGACACGGCGCTTTCTGATCTCTGCCTACTACAATGGCCACGCTGACTTTCCGGAACCTGGACGTAGGCCGAGTCACGAGAGCTATTGTAAGCTCTCAAGAGTGTTCTGTTTCAAATATTGCCTTGCGATTAAGCAAATAATTATATTTGACTCTCCTATGAAAACATACATTCTGTGCCAAGTTGTCCTTGCAGTCAAAACAAATCAAGCGACTATTTTCAACAGTTAAGAGCTCCCAGCCTACATAAAGCAGGACTGACTGGCTGTGACTGTTTATGTAACTTGACACAGCTATGCTTTGACTGTAGGTGATTGATAAGCCAGCTGTGCCTACCACTTGTCTGCTTTTGTCTGTTGACTGAATTTGACTAGTCAGAGTGCTTGCTTAAAATATGATCTGGCTGTTGTTGACTAGCCTATGTATAAGACATAGCAAGGGGAAAAGATGGATTTTTTGTTTGACTGTCTGTGACTGTTCAGATAGCAGGAGGGTTACATGTTATAATACCTCTAAGTTCCTCTCTTCTGGTGTTCTGTCATCTACCGAACCTGCAATGACATTCCATCGACAGTCGTGGTCCGTGAGGTAACCCTTGTAGATAGGGGAAGCTGCACTCAATGCCAACTGAATACGACCAAAAAAAGGTTCAGATATTTTTTAAGAGTATCTTTTTTTTCTTCCAATGATGAGCTTTATTGCATAATTGGTCCGTTTCGAAAGTATGAACCTTTTTGTACATACATGAATACAATCCTCTACATGTTTTAACCAGTTCGCGTTGGAGGCCGTGATAACACGCACTGGCTGTTTTTATACACAGGCACAGCTGACGGGTTTAGACGTCAAGATTGCCTCGACTCGCCTCCGGGTGACGTCTCAACACGCTAATCCCTCGTGCCTTTTGTATACACACACAAAGTCCGTGAAGTCTGAGGAGGCGGACTGTGTGTTGATCTTGAATTGGCCATTGTGCACGGCCTATTTTGTACAATTTATGCTCCAGTGCACACCCCGGAATATTAAAACGATGAGGTTTCGGCAAAATATATCGTACAAATACTGTTGAAAATGACTCTTGCAAATCAGTATTCGTGGTGTTTGGCTTTTCTGAAAAACCTGAACAGTTCAGTTGCTTGAGCACGAATATTGGTGGATACGTACAGTGAAACGCCGCAATAACGAACAGCACTACAACGAAAATTTTGTCATAACGAACTTCCCCACAGGCTCCCGAAATAGTGTATTCTATTATAATGCACAATCACTATAACGAACAACCACTATAGCAAACACTTTCTGTAGACCCCATCGTGTTTGTTATAGCGGCGGTTCACTGTATACTGTTCGCTTTATCAATACGCATTGTTGTAATTATTTCATGAAAACAAATCCACACTGTCGGCACTTACAATTATCGGGCACAGTGGCGTAAGCTGATCGTACAGGTGTCGCGCCTCATTGATATGGCACGCTTGGAATGTCATCTGAAGACAGCTGTTGCCCATGCCAAACCCCATGCAGTCCATGTACACATGGTCCGGCTTGGCTGCTCTAGCGCCCTCACCATCGTGGTCGTTTACGAACTCCTCTACGAAGGGAGTCGGAGTGTTCTTGTCTTTGAAAACTACGAAGAATAATAATAATAATAATTACCCTGGATTGGACATTTGGAAGACATCCCCATAGACTTGTGCAATTTTTCAAACTTAAATGTGCCCTAACCCAATATTCCCTTGTCCTTTTTCCAGGAATTTTGGTATGTTTACTAATTAGACCACGAGCAACAAATGTAACCTAATTGCATATCGCATGTCCATATCGCACTCCACGTATCGCGCTATTCTAAGATGCACACGCCATTCCTGCTGCACGCATGTATAATAGGATAACCTTTGACAAGTTCGTGTACAGTGTGTGCGTTCCATTTTTACTGTGAGTCAAGTTTGCATGACAATAAAATTGTTATACTACTCGATCTCATACAACACAAAAACTGTAGTGCGTCAGCCTTTGGCCTCTTGGGACACAGATGCGCTACATTTTTCCTTGCTCCACTCATGCTCGTGAGATAACTAATGTCCACTCCAATGAAACGTTTGTATACAACAATCGGGGAGGTGGGGAGAATCTAGGACAGGCCACCTACTTGGAATGTTGATAGCTACTTTCTCGCCTCGTCTCTTCCGTATATTCTTTGTCAAGCTCCTGCAGTTGGGAGAAAGTAAACTACGATCAACCTGGGAATATGGTGCCAACATTCCAACATTTAACCCTAACCCACCTCACTCCTCCAAAATCCTCCTGGCAGTTTTGGAGGATTCTAGAGGATTGAGGATGAATGGTGATTGAATCAAATGAGGATTTTGGAGGATTGAGGATGAATGGTGATTGAAGCACATGAGGATTTTGGAGGATTGAGGATGAATGGTGATTGATGCACAAGAGGATTTTGGAGGATTGAGGATGAATGCACTTTGTGGCAGGACTGTCTGATGATTTTGAAGGATTTGGCGTTGGTTATCCTTCATTTAAACACGAGTGCAAATTTTGGGATGAGGAGGATTTTGGAGGATTGACGATGAATGCATTTTGAGGCAGGACTGTCTGACAATTTTGAAAAATTTAGGCGGAGTTGCAAAATTTTGGAGGATTTTGGAGGATTGAGGATGGTTCTAAGCAAAAAGGTCCTAGGGGGTTAGGGTTAGCTAAGGATGAATCGTTCCAAACATTAATTCTCCATACATCCTTGTTTACAAGTGAAAAGTTTGAATAATGAATTGGATAACTTTAAATTGATCTTTTGTAATTTCTGACCTGAACCGCGGATGTCCTGGGTAAATCACTTCGTCGGGAATGAATAGTGACTTGGAGACGCCTTCGTCGCTAGGGTTGGGCTTGTACGACGGTGTGGAAAAACTGGGACATCCCAGTCTGAAAAGAAAAAGTTGTTCTTTTGATAAATCAGATTATAAATAATAATTGCACTGCAGCCAATTCCATGGCTCTGCAAAAGTCACTCAGCACAGAACACAGTTGCTCAGCAACAACCGGTTACCAGCCAAAATGCCATGCAATGTTTACTGCTCGTGGCTGGTAACCAGCAGATTTTTTTAAATTCGGACAAAATCTGGCCGACTGTGCAACTTTAAATACATACTTTGAGAATTAACCTGTTGTCCATGATCTAATTTTTACATTTTATTTTTCAAACAATTATGGCGGTTTTAAGAAAACACTGTACATGTATTGCCTTGTGAAAGCCAAAAAATTGCATGTACATATGACATATGAAGTACCATAGCGTATTATCATTAAGTGTGAGGGTTGGGAGAATTTAATGGTCTGATGATTTTTCAAAGCAGGGGATTTTCCAAAAAATGCAAATTTTTATGCTGTACTGTGTCGTTCAATAAACCAGCACCCAACATATCTCGTTCAATACGGCAAAAATTCACGACATGGTGAATGGGAGAATCCCACCAAGTATTGCGAGATATTCTTTACATATGTGGCCTGACATGCCTAAGGGCAACATAAATTGGCTGTTACTTTACCTGGGGAATGCAGTCAAGCTGAGGGCTGTCTCCCCTTTAGCTGTGTCCAGTAGCTTTTCCACTTCTTGCCTCCTGGAAAATGAATGGCAAATTTCAACATCAACAAGGAAAATATTTCTCGTGTACACTTAGATCCTATGTATGTATATTGTGTATAAAAAACAGGCATCTTGTTTCAAAATTGTTTCTTAAAACAAAGAGTACCAATTTCAAACACATCTGGGCGTTATGAAACTAATACGAGTAATACTGCGCTGTTAAATTGAAAAGCTCAAAAACTGTTTGTCTGCTGACTGAATTTATATTCACAGTGATTGCATAAAATACGATCTGACTGTTGGTGACTAGTCTGTTTAAAAGCATGGTAGGGGAACAGGATTGATTTTTTTTTTACTGTCTGTGACTGTTCAGATAGCAGGAGGGTTAAAAGTGGATACTTTTACAAGTATAATATTGCTGGGAAAATAGCAATTTCAAAAACAAAACGTGATCTATTTTTCGGGCTCAAAGTCGAAATACATGTAGCACAGGAACTGTACATATACAGGCGCACTGAATTACTAAAGGAGGTATTGCAGACCTACGTGTACTGGTTCGAAAGCCCAAACTGGACTCACGCCAATTATACATGTATATCCTGTAACGAATATTATCTAGAAAAACTTCCGAATGTAAGGCCAAAAAAAAAAAAGGGTCGGTCTCTGGTCAGCGCGCGCGTCGATTTTAATCATGCGTGTCAACCTTTTTTTTTTCTTCAAATTAACACGGAAGCTACAACAGCGCCCTCTATTGCCGCACCTCCTCAAATTTTTGTACCAAGGAGCACCAAGGAATGGGGAAATTGCACCAAGGCAAATGATAAAGGGCACCAAGGCAAATTATGGAGGACACCAATGTATAATGGGGACACAAAAAGCAAAATAGTACCCACCTTGTCTGTACAATTCAAGCTTGAAAAAAAAAGAAAAAAAGCCACCCCCCAAAAAAAACCCGCGTCGCCGCATCAATTCCGGAACTTCGGTCTGACCAGAGACCGATTATTATTTTTTTTTGGCCTAAGCCTCTGATATGACAGTCATTGTTATTTATAGAAAATAGTATGAATTTAAGCACGCATGCCCGCAAGCAAAAAAAATTCTGCCGAGTCATTGTGTCATAGTGCATAATGGCAACATGTACAAAAGTTTGTTGACCTTTTCTCCCATTGGAGCGCTGTGTAGCACGATGTACACAATCAACAGCAAAATTTTGCAAAATGGTGATGGAAGGGTCCTTTTATCAATAAAAAGATGATTCTGCGCATGTGCTTTCACAATAGGAGGGGGATATTTTCATTTTTTGGAAAGAATATACTAGAAACATAAAGTAAATGTATCCCTCCAGTCCCAACCTCGTCCCCAGGGTGTCGAGCAGTACGCGCCCACCACTACCTGCTCTCTTACCCTGGTATTGGATCATTTGCACGTGCAAAATTTTTGAACATGCATGCAAATGAGGAATAGTCTGGTGCCTGCCTGTGTGTTACATTAGCGTTTGTTTTTGTAAGGGGTGTCTGGGATAAAAACAGAATCAATTCGGCGTGCCGTGAGTTACGAAAATGTTAAAATGTTACAATCTTATCCCGCCAATGTGCAGTATCACATTTTACATTAATTAATATAAGTAATTTGGAAAGGAAAGGAGTATACATTTGTATTTCAGAAGGCGTGGACGCTATAATTACAATGATCGTGAAAACATGTAATGCACGTTGGAAATAACAACACCAACTACACGATATAAATCCATTACTAGCCAATTGCGGTATCGAATCAGGATACAGGAAGAAATTTACTATCCAGGGCTTACTATTTGCACAAGGTTGGAAATAAAGGCCAAGTTCGCGCAAGGACTATAGTTGACCAATGGTTAACTAACGTTTGCCCGAACTCTGTCTAGTCGACGGTGGTTGACTACGCTACTCGACTATTTGGAACCAGCCTACTGGGGTTGGTTGCTTCGCTGGTAACCAATAGCCGCGCGCATCCATAACGCTAGCAGAGAGCCAGGATCCAGAAGTTTTGCGATGACATTTTGACCAGCGTTTGACTAGAGACGTTCGCACGTTGCTATCAGTGCGCAGGCGTAAGGTACGTCACAAATCAACCACTAGTCGACTAATGGTCCTTGCCCGAACTTGGCCATAGTGGCTGAACTGACCTGAATTTCATATTAGCTTCTACGGTGTTGAGATGTGCCATTAATCCCCCGTAAGGCTTGCCCGGTGTGCCTTCCACCATGTAGGCTGCGTACTCGGGCCGCCAGAGAGTTTTCAAATCGCCCCTGAAAATAACAATCAAACAAATTAATAATGATGGGTTTTTTAATTTCAAGCTGGACTGCTCCGTACATGTACATGTACATGAGGTTTTAACCGTCCTGCTATTTAAAAGGTCACAAACAGTCAAAACTTCCTTCCATTCCCCGGCATACTTTTAACAAACCAATGGGGGTCTTGACCAATATTGACCCAAGTATAAAAATACAAGTTAAGGTCGAACCCTGTTTATACTGACTTTGGATTGTTCTCTTCCTGTTCTTGCAGCGTGGGGAGAATCTCTTCTGCTTTGAGTAAAAGCTTAGCCGACTTGTTCTCATGATCCAACTTGACCAGCATGTACTCAACCTGAAAGAATGCGTAGGACGCATTAACAAACAACACGATGATCTCCCTGCGTGAACAGTGAGGGCGCTATGTTCCCATTTTCAGGTGCCCCAGTTGGACGGACACGCATTAGTTACAAAATGTATTGAACTTGTGGTACAATTATAGTTAACCCCCACCCCAAAACAAAAACCGCAGGGATTTACAAAAGGTCTTAATTTTACTACCTACCTCGTCCCCCCATTTGAGCACGTCACATGGCCGGTCTTTCAGCTTGTTGTAAAGACTGACAAACTGGATGAGTCCATGGCGACGGATGTGTTCGTCGTAACCGTTGGCCTTGATTTCTTCCCACGACAGAGGCTTGCCGAGACTCAGGAGACCCATAGTTGATGGTGCGCGGCGTTAGGATCTTTGCTGCTGGTGCGTGTAAATGAGGAGCAGAAAAATTAAGGGAAAGTTTATGGTGTGCGATTTCTTGGTAAAAGTGAATTTGTTTTGTAGTTCAGGACCCTGTATCTAATTATGGCTGTGTTTATTTGACCGCGAACAGGTGCCTGACTTTTTTTCACTCTATATCCAGCACTCCCACTGAACATGCACTGTGAATTTTTGGCTTTTTAAAAATTAAGTTAAGTGTTTAAACTCTTGCAGGAGTGTCTACATGTCACTTGGTGTTTGGTCTGTCCGTCTGTCCCCGAAAATTGACCGAAAGTATGGTGTTCAAAATTCACCGAAAGCGTGTTCCATGTACCATCGGTGTGACATTTTTCGGCGATCGAGGCAGGAAATATGAGCGTGCTGCCCGAGGGTGATGGCTTTAACCCGCCTGACTCGAGGTCAAGGGAAAAATAATCCTGCGCCTCTTTCCGTTCTTGTCAAAACAATCCCGGGGCAAACTGGTTAAGGATCCCATTTTAAAACAAAAATCCTTTTTTTATCATCATGTTCATATTAATTATTAACCTCAGCAAGACATCAAAATAGCTGGCAATATTGAAAAGCATGATAAGGAACGAGAGCCCGGCCCCATATTGGCTCAAATTCTGGACTTAATTCCTCCGCCACATACCGATGCATGCAAAATGTCCTGAAAAGTTGAAATCTGAACTGTTGTTACTTTTTCACTTGATATTCTCTATGGAAGCTACTGTACCTGTTGATGAGCTGAAGCAATTAGCAAGTGTGCTTGATGCTGGCCTTGAAAGTTGGAGCTAGGCCTATATAAAAATACTTGGAAGAATAGTGCACTTCCGATCCGAACGCCAACGTCAGACGCTTGACAATCTTAATAACTCTCACTGATCGACTCTCACAAGTCATGCACAGATCTAGAGCAAGGCTCTATGGGTCTGCACGTCTATTTATACACAACCAAAAACTGCTGTATCATGGCTGTATCGCCTGTGTTTACCTTGGAATTGTAATCTTTCACAATGAATGATTGATGGACGTGCAGGCATGCGCCGTATACATCATGTACATGTACATCATGTATATGGCATGGAAATCGGAGGCGCGCCACACTTGACCAATAGAGGGCGCCCTGCATCATCAGTGGTGTCTTGCCCCCCCCCCCCCCCCAAAAAAACCCATAGACACTAGTGCTAAATGCGCATACTTCAAAATTCTTTTAAAAATACTCAGAACTCTCACAGGTATTCAAGCTGCACAGAAAAATGATGATCGATATGTCATCTTTCAATTTCTTTTCATTTTTTGGTGGGTTGACAATTGGCTTTTCGAAATATTCTCACCCAAAGAAGACGGCCCCTATTTCCCCCAAAGCTGAATGATCCCTCCGAGCTCCCACAACATGGCCAAATAGCGCCACTTTCGAGCCCAATTGCATCCAAAATGCTCAGAATTGGAAGCCCCAAGTCCGGGCCAAAGGTTCATTGCATATCTCAACAATTCCCCAATATTATGGCTCTCAGAACTCTCTATAATAATATAAAATATTTAGAGGGTATGACTTTTATTCACGAGCTCGGCGAATGGATTTAGGCCTATTTACCGATGTGCACCCTTTAAGTTTGCGTTCGAGTACCTCACCCGGATCGACTCAGGTAAAGGCAGACGGGTTAGCCACGACAGCCGGGATATTTTTGAACGCTCATACGCGCGTGGCCGCGGGCCGCGCCGGCCAACACGAACCCCAGAACCCCCCCCCCCCCCCCCCAAAAAAGTTGGGTTTATAGCCTCAAAAGTTGCAATGAACTCAATATTATTAACGTAATACGAAAGGCCGTTAGTACCAGCGTGGTTTGTTTGTTGTTTTTCTGTTTTTTTGAGAGAGAGCGTTTTTTTTCTAGAGCATGCAGGTTTTTTTTTCCAGAGCAGTTTTTTAAGTTTACACCACATGTAAATTTAGTAGAGCGCCCTCTCTCAGGCTGAGCTTTAATTCGCATTTCACAGCCGCAAATCCACATGAAATTCCATATAGCCGCGTTAAAATGATGTATTCCGTGACCAATCTGGATCTCGGTGCATGAGCATGAAATACATTGATATACTGCTTTATTTGAAAGCTTTCAGAATAATAAAAAAAACCAATAGTGGTCGCAAGCCCCCCCCCTTAGCTCCGCCTACTGTCTTTCCTTGCGTCTCTTAAGTGATTACAGGGCGCCCTCATCTGGATTTTCGAGGTGAAAAAAAAAGAGACGAAAAAGATTGGCTTTTCATGACATTTGAGCCTTGTTGTGTCCTTTGACCTTTATAAAAATGGATAAAAAATAAACCTCTTCCAGCTTTTCAATTCATTTTTCATATTTTCAGCTCAAAATAATATCCTCGATAAAAAAATCTGCACGCAACATGTACAAGACGCAACATGTACAAGGCGCATCGAGCTGGCGCAGACGATCAACACGAGGTTTTGCGCGCGAGTTTGTTGACATTGGTCAAAAATTCTGACGAGCATAAAATACGTAGTACGTAGGCAACAAATATGCTGTCAAGAATTCTCTCCTGTTTTCGCTATTTTCTCACAGTGATATGTCTGTCCCTGACATTATTTCCATAGGACTTCGAAGCTTAGTGTACTGTTTCTAAGGAACTGTGGTGAGAAGTGCAAGAAAAGGGAATATTTTTTGGGTAAGTTACCAAATTGTTCTGACAGAATTTTGCGATGCGTAGGTCGGTGTGGTGCATTCTACACGTACAGGTATGTACTGTACATTGTAGATCGCTGTCTCACTGTCAAACTCGAAGGCCGATATTGGAAGAGTCTTGACTCATGGAGTTTCGACGGGGAACTTGGAACAACAATTGGTGGTGCTAAATATTTGTTTCTTGAATGCATGAAAGACACTTATCTTTCTCATTTGCTATTATTTCAGTTAAAACAATGTAAAAATAATGTAATGACCCCCCTAAAAAAAAAAAAGAAGTAGGAAAGAATGTTGCATCCTGAGTGACGCCACTTTTTTTCATCATAGAAAAAAAAAATCATTGCCAAAATGTTGAAAAGACAATATGAATTTAGGACTGAGAAACATCTTAACTCTCCATAGTTTACTTTGTATTAATCGCTGAAGTGGCGTCTGGATATACTACATTTTTTTCCTTAAAGTGGAATTTTGCTGGAGGAGAAAATTCTCATAAAGTTCAACTATTATTGACTCTTCACAATTTGTATGCACAATATGTAGCACAAAATTTGCTAATATTTTTTCAAAACCTTAATAAAAAGATGCATTCATTTTGTTTGTTTTTGATTATTTTCAAGAAAGGGTACGTGTTTTTCTTCCGAAAACAATTATCACCACTGAAAGTAAAATCAATCTACGCCAAACAAACATTGCAATAGGGCTGCATTTGAGTGTGACAATTAAATGCCTGGGATACCCATGCAGTTACCCAATTGTCAGGTATCAAGTTCTTACCAAAAACATACTTGCAGATTCACTATTGGTAGAGGGCAGAACGGTTGTTTATTGATCAGTTGCTGGTAAAAGTGAATTAGAAAATTGTGTTTATCAAACGAATTACTCATTTGAGTCACATTCCTGTTTCTGACAAGCAGATTGCTATTGACAGGGATCACCACAACTTGCTGCCATTTCGAAGTTCATATTTGTATTATAAAGTTTAAATAACTGAGTCACAGGTTGGGCTATGGCGCATCTAGCCACATAACGCTAGGATCATCCTAGCTACTAGCCACAGGGAATTACAATATTATCACTGGATTGAACTTGGAAATGCACTCAATAAGTGACAGATGCACTGATGAAATAAAATATCTTAGTAGAAAAAAAAGGAAAAATTAATAAAGAATACAGTTGCGTAACTACATATCTATACCGCAGGTTGTTTGCTTTTAGTTAAGTAGGAGGTCACAGGAGCGCACCTGAAATTGAATTAAAAGTGCCGGAGGGAAATATGGCAGAGAAATAAAGGTGTTACGTACACCTTTGCTCACATATTGTGAACCTCATGTTGGATCGCTGTCCTTCCATGGTGGCAGTTGGCAATGAGTGCGCGCTAAGAGCCCTCCACACCTAAACAGCCTTCGTGTTGTGTGTACGGTGTTTTTTTTTTAATAGGGACTTGTCAGAAATTATAGAAAAGAGAAAACGTTGTGTGCAACTCGGACTTTGCCCGGTATCCTTGCTTCAAATGTCCTCCAAGTGTTTGCTGAAGGGGGTTGATGTTTACCGGGGAAGTGGACGGTTGCTGGGAGCAAGGCTTCACACTTGGCCTTCATTTTTTCAAAATCTGATGTGGAAAAAAAATCTGAGGTAGTTTCTGAGTTCCATCGAAATTGGCCAAGCGGATATACTTGAAACTGGAACCTATCAGCTTCTAGGCACTAAAGGAATGTGAAGACTGGTATTGTGTCTAGACTGTGATTGGAATAGGGAAAAGTTTAATTTTTGTAAAATAATTTAGGAGATGTTTTGATCTAGAGGAGCATGTTGCTTGACTTGCTTCGGTGGAACGTTTCTCTTATCCACCACCTTATTAAGGGCTGCTAATGATGCTAATTAGTATGGCAGTTTGGTGATGGGATTGTTCATTGGATGATAAAAGCATGGAATTTGGCACTCAGTCAGAGGGAAAAGATATTTGGCTATAGGGCCATCGCACATTTGTCCTTTGAAAAAATATAGGTAGAATAACAAGAAGTTTTCAAAATTTTCAAAATGACTGGCATTGCTTGTTATTCGACCTATATTTGTATCAAAGGACAAATCTGCGATGGCCATATAGCCAAATCTCCTTCTCATGACATACTCTGAACATACGGTATGTCCTTTGTCTATGCTCTGACTGTGTGTGCCAAAATCCATGCTTGTGTCATCAAAGGCACAATACCGTCACCTATCTTCCGAACTACCACACCATCTACCTCATTCCCGCAGCACTTAGATGTTTTAGTGCCCCAATTTTTAATGTCATTGCTATATCAAGTCCTTGAAGGTACGATACAGTGTGTACATGTAGGTCTATAGAGTTCTGTAAATACAGTGTATAGTCTCTAAAGTGGATGGATAATTGTGTTGCTAGACAATTGTGTTGCTACCTTTACTTGTATTATTCATTATGCCGATCTTTGCTTCATATTTGAGTTACTAATGTGAACACTACCCTGAAGTGGAAACATGTTAACGACCAGTGATCCAGCTTGTACCTTGACCACTTCTGACCTGCACGTGTTGTGGTTATTTACTTCAAAAGAAACTTTAGGGGCCTATAGTTCTACATTGTGAAATGCAAACACTTGTGTGAACATCGAGCAAAATCAAGGTTCAAAACAGGATATTTTCGATTGCTGACACTATTATGCAGTTTTTGGAATTAACTGCAATGCCTGTCAGTGCATCAAAACAGAAAAATGCTGTGGATTGCCGCCACCTCAACCTTAGGCCAAAAAAAAATAGTTCTGCTTCCAGTTTCCCTACCTACCCTATTCTGACAGCCCCTACCCTAATATTTTATGGGGAAAATGAGGAAAAAACACCCAAAACCATCAATTTCTACCTTTTACCCTTGACTACACGCAGACGCCTCCATATGATCGTACACAAAAAAATTGGCAAAGAAAAAAAAAATAAATTCCCTACCTACCTACCCACCCTATTTTCAAATGCCATGTAATCGGAAGCAGAACATTTTTTGGGGCCTTACTTGAAAAGACTGTGCACTAATTTTTATTTTTTTTAAAAATCCATTTAAATAATTAAAAGTCTTTCCATGACGAATACGCGGTATTAGATATCATTTGAAAGCTATCTTCACAATTCAGTGTCAGTTTGAAGAATTGTCAGCAATGAAATGGTTACCTGCTGACCTGAATAAAAATGGGCAGAAACTTTGGAAAAATATTAACCGAACTGAAAGTTTCCTGGTCCTAAAACCGCTTAGTTGCACTTGGCATGATATATTTTCCCCCCTCGGTTCAACAATTTTTAGAATGACAACTAATAAGTCAATTTCTGCATCGGCGATTTTATACTGTTAATCATCACTCTTGCAGTCTAGACC